AGAGCCTTGGCCCTCAGCTCAGTATTTGCTGCTGTGAACGATCCATTTCTGTGGAATATTATGCCAAGATAGCAGTATTTATCGGTGTGCTGGATGGGCTGACCTCCCAATGTGAATGTTTCATAGGACTGCTTTCGTTTGGGAGGGCTGAATATTACAATCTTGGTTTTCTTAATATTTACTTCAAGGCCCATGGAGTTACAGAAATCAAATAGAATGTTGATATTGAATTGCAAGGCCTTGGGAGTTAGAGCAAGAAGGACAAGATCGTCAGCCCACAGCAGATGTGATATCAGAATGTCAGCAAGAACTGGATAGTCACCAACAGATTTCAGAAGAGATGAAAAGTCATTAATGTAGATTTTAAAAAGGTCTGGCGATAGGGGGTGTCCTTGCTCCGTTCCTTTGCCAATATCAATTTTAGGCGACAAGAGTTTGGAAATTTTTATATGGGCAATAGAGTTTTTGTACATATCACTTAGGCAGTTGAAGAAGTTACCGGTTATTCCAAGGCATGTAATTTTGTGCAGAAGGAGGTCCCTACATACAGTGTCAAAGGCCTTTCTTGCATGCATAAAGACAAGCCTTTTTAGATTTTGTGTATTTGTCAATTACTGTCTTGAGGGTGAAAACGTGATCGTTAGTTTGGGCACCTTTCGAAAATCCAAGCTGTTCTTTTGGGTCAGGACAGTAGAGCTTTTTGAAGTGTAACAGACGTTCAAGTAAGATGCTAGAGAACAGCTTACCCATACAACTGCCAACTGCTATTTCTCTGTAATTGTCTGGGCTGAAGGGATTGCCTGATTTATAGATAGGAGTGATGATACTGATATGCCATGGATAGTAGCCTGAGACCAGAGAGTGGTTGAATGTTTTGAGGATGACTTGGAAACAAAGGGGAGTTAGGCTCTGAAGCGTCTCGTTTGAAATCAAGTCATTTGAGCAACTTTTACCCTTTTTGAGCTTTTTGATTGCGGAAGTAAGTTCAGAATCAGATATGAGCTTGTTTAGGATGTCCAGATCTGGTGGTTCAGGGTAATGTCTGTGATTGTGGTGAGTGAGATCTGGTTCCTGGTCAGGTTTATTATAGAGGGAAGCAAAGAAATCACGAAAGCTAGCAAGATCGAATTTGTCTAGTAGGGGACTAGTGTCATGTTCTTGTTTTAGCCTTTTAAATTTTTTTCAGTCAAGAATATGACCCTCTTCAATAGCTTCATTTAGCTTCCTAAGAAAGGATAATTTCTTACTGTTAACAAGATTGCTGTGCTTATTGCGTTGCTTATAATATTCTCGTCTGAGAATGTTGTTGCAGTGTTTACTACCTAGCCGGTTTGCTAGCCTATTTAGGTTGCGTCTCGAGGAGTTGACTTGTGGATCAAACCATTTCTTTTGGGCGGAATTTTTAGGAGGTTTTTTCACTTTTAATGCTATATCAGCAGCACTGTGGAGACAGTTAGTAATTGCATCGTTCAGTTCATTATTGCCCTCCAAGGTGCCGCTAAATTCGTTTGCTACAATGTTTTCCAGGTTATGGACAATTTCGGGTGAGTTGAGGGCTGCTTTAAATAGTAAGTGGGAGTTGTTGTTGTCCCACTTATAGCCACACGGTAAATTAGAAAAGTCTGGGAGCTGGAAGTTGGCAACAAATGGTTCGAATGTGGTGAGTTTCAAGACTAAGGGACAGTGGTCAGAGTACGATGTAAACTCTTGAAGAGAGTTTACATGATCTCTTGCCCACGAGGTGATTACAAAATAATCGACCACACTGCTTCCATTATATTTGTGACAGGTCATTTTTCCAGTGGTGTCCCCGAGTCAGTTAACCACGTCAAGAAAGTGTTGGCAGTGGGGTTCAGATATAGTCAGGTCAGAGTTGTTTCTGGGTTCTTCAATGTCATGTTCAAGTCCAATATCATTATAGATGTCATGCATGCCCAGGTCAAGATTCATGTGAGATTGCGAGACAGGCTCATCGCACAAAATCTTAAAATAAACATAGAAAAAAATTAACAAAAGAATGTGTGAGAAAATAGAAAAATGTAATTTAAAAGATTTAAGCGACACAAAAATTTGCTTAAGACTTTGTAAATTCGAAACTTGTGCGGTGTGAGATCACGTGGTTAAAGTATAACAACTTTGCCGCGCGCAATTAGTGCGAGATTTTGACGAGTTTAGTATAAATCTCACCCCAATATCGCGAGTTTAACCACGAGATTTCGGCACCCTCTTTCAGCACTACATATCCAGTCGCGCGCTTACATTTTCATAATAATATTCCTCATCTTGCTGGTCCCTTCGTCTTTATCATCAAGCCGACTTTTTATGGTCATTGTACTTTTGGTATTGATTGTTTTGAATTATTACTGGTTGTGTTACTCTGACGGCTTACTTTTCTGTACTGTCTAAGTCTTAAAGGATACTAGTTGTTGTCGATATTAATCGGTTTATAAGATCAAGATTAACAGTGGTTACTATAGTTACCATGGTTACCATTAAAGGAGGTCTGGTAATGGTCGAAATCTCAAGGTACTGTTCCTGGCTAAAGTCGACTCAATCTTTCTCAGAGTATTCTTAATACTGCCATAGGCAATGCCTATTAGGCAAAGTGAATATTTCTTCATTAAAAGTTTGAAAAAGGGTCTTTTCAACAGTAGAACTGACTTATTAATCCTAACAGGTAATTAACTCTGGATCCTCATCACATTGATTCCATTCTAAATTCTAGCCTTAAAACAAAACAAACATTACCAGATAAATCCGTTTACCATAATTTGACAATTGACATGTTCTAGTGCGAACGAGGCCTTCCCCGGACAAATCCTTAAATGCCAGTCTTCTCTAGCTGAAGTACGAACAGTATAATTTATCGGATAAAGTATATTACAAGGTGCTCTGATGATAATTTTAGTAAAATAATTAAGAATTGCCAAAAAAATGACCGTCGACGAGGTTCGAACCGGAGTCAACTGCTAAGCGATCCGCGCTCTAAACCATTGTGCTACAATGGGCATAACAGATTTACAATATGTAACTCTATATACTTCATAAAAATACGCACGTAAATTTTCGAGCGACATAAAGCGACATACTTACAATTTCGCTCACAAAGGGACTCGCGAAATCTGAAATCTTTTTAAATAGAGAATAATTTGTGGGGCAAGAAATCTTGCAGGCTGGGTAGGGGGGGGGGTGGGGGGAGTACATTTCGCCACTGCACGTGACACGTGAAAATCGCACTTTTAGTCTCAAAATCCAATCTCATCGCACTTTTTTTAGAATCTTGATAGGGGCATGCATGGCAGGTGCATTACAAGAAAGGATATAGTCTGGGAGTTTTCCAGTTCTTGCATTTGCATCGCCACACATGATAACTTCTCCTTTTTGACGTAGTCTAATACAGAGGGTGTCAAGAGCAGAGAAGGTCTTAGCAGTATAGTCTGGATATTTCTTGACATAGGACGAATATGCAGGGCTAATATAGTAGCAGTTAGAGGTGTACGTGGAAAGGCAAAGAAGGCATGGAACGCCCCTATATCCAATGTCTCCTTCAACCTGATACCTGAGGAGAAGAGCTACGAGGGATATATGATATAATCTATTGCTCAGGATTTACGATTGTGCTCTGCCAATTGCATCACTTGATTTAATTTATTGTATATATATACTGTTTGTCATTTATATGCCTGACTTAAAACCATCCATCAATAAAAATATATATATAATATACTAGGATACAAGGATACAAAAGTGATAATTATTAATTACTTTACTGAGTAGTAATTCAGTAATTGTCGTATGTACAAAACCTGTATAAAACAAAATACTTTATTACATAATAGAATAACTTTACAACCAAATTAAACCAATTCCAAATATATACCTAATAACTAAACATTATAAATACTTACCGATTGGACGGTAGTGTGCTGCCAATGTTCCACTCCTCCCCAGTCCAATCGGTTATCCTTCTTTGCTTGTCATTGCTAAAGGTGTGAACAGTAATAACACACAATAGTTGTAATTCTGAAACAATTTAAGTTCTAATTATTTACAAGTGTGTAGGAATAATTTAGAAATATAAATGAATGTCCTTGCTGTACGGCAGTGTTAAACAAAGAACTGAAACCGAGGGGTTCCGTTCATGCCCTTCACACTTTGTTTCTGTCTGGTTCTAATATACAGTTACAATAATGACTTCACAGATAGAATTGAATGGAATGCTCTTGCTGTGGCAGTAAATTTGGTAGGATCTAGAGTTTTGTTGGAGAGCAGACCAGCTAGGTCAGTGATGTTTTGGGGATGGAAGTTGATTGAATAGTAGATTGAATTTAAACTTATCCCCAGAACCAGGGATATTTATTATTTTAACGTTTAGTTAAAATAGGGCTATGGTGTTGTCCTGGTTGGTGAATACACAATCCTTAACATCTGCTCTCTCCCAAATCAGCCTACTTACCCTTGTGGCAATTTTATTTGGCACAACTCTAATTTTCTTGATACACGGCCAATATTTATACATAGATGTGAGTCCACTTAGCTACTCAATAATCCAAGCACACTTATCGTCTAATCTTAAATTTCTATCAATAGATAATAAATTTTTGACTGTATTGATAAAGAAGACCAGATGATACACATCAGGCCTTGACAAATAATTTATGAGATAAAGTGGAATTATTTGTTTGGGCATTCTTCAGCTCATATTGAAATGGTACAGAGAAAAGACAGTCAAGTCTAATAGGAATAGAAAGTGTCTAAAAGGAATAGTTATATAAGTTATATGAAAGAGAATCCAATGATAGCTAAGAGGAAGAAGGTTAATATCAAAGGTATTTAGTTGAATTTTTTAAGTTTGTAATTATATGGTTTTTAACGTAAATTGTTCATTTTCTGTGAATGTCTTGTTGAGATGCCCAGAGAGGAATTATTTATAATGTTATGTTGAGTATTCATTTAAAAAGTCACATTGGAGTGTTCTGAATAATGTATTGAATTATTACATTTATAGCAAGTATCCGACAAGAAATAAATCTATCGACCCTACCTACCTACAACTTTCTTAGTTCCTCTCCTAACATGTCTCAGGTTTGTTTGTTAAACGTCTTTAATTAAGCTTGGTAATTAAATTTTTTAAAACTTCATTGCTGTAATCTGTAAAACTTAAAAAGTATTTACGTAATAAAAAAAAGTTTGTTTTTAGTAATTTAATTGCTGCCAAATAATGCTGTTCTTTTGGGGTAAATGGATTATAGTCTTGACAACACCACATGTGTCAAGTCCTAATTAATAATTACACATTTCGTACTGAATGTTGCTCACACATGTCCCCATTTTCAGGATCCAAACCACATAGGACTTCTACCCCCTCCCCCACTGCTCCCCAACCAGCCGCTCCCTCTACCTGTGTCTCAGTACCAGGCCCCACCACCATCTCATTATCCTCCTCCTCTTCCTCCTCCTCCTCTTCAGCCAGTCTACAGGATGCAGTATCCTACCTCTACTATGCATGCGCAAGGTGTGGTATAAGATCTACTCCGAGATCAGATATGTGATTTAAGCTAGATCAGAAGTACGATCTTCTGATTTGTATTGGCGATGAAGTGATCCTTCTTCTCTGACTAGAATGATCCAAGTGTGCAGATTGAATGAGATCTTTCTTGCTATCTTTAAGGATCGTATGTTAATCTTGGGCGTTCTATTTTGGAGATTTTAATGCATTATCTGGTCCTGCAAGTTACAGCAAGATTTTGATGAAAAGAAAACTTTAGTTCTGAAAAGAGTTCTCATTGTTCCAAACGTGTTCCTTTCAACTTTCAATGAACTCGCCCTTCAAATTTACTGTGGCTAACGAGGCCAGAAAGAATGAAATCGGAACTTGAAGATCTGTTGTGATCAGTCTATCAGGAAGTTAAGCACTGAACTTGGTCATTGATCATAATCCTTCTTTGAAAACATTTCCTGAGCCGGAGCCCTCGATAAGCCAAGGGAGCCAAGCAATACGATCTCATTGTTATTCCTGTATAGATTGTGTGTACTTGTTATTGTTGTTATTACAATATTACAATACTTCATAAAAATGCCATATCGGTTTATATCCTAGCAGCAACACTAAAACCATTATTGGATTGCAAAGTCTTCTCTTATAATTGTAAATATTTTTGACTGTCATGATTGAATGCCAGTATTGACTTGCTCAGCAATTATATAATTTATTAGTTTACCTTGACAAATATTCTGCCTATTTAAACATTGCCTTTCTGTAGCTGATTTTTGGTTAAGTATATATAATCAGGGTTAGGAAAGTTAATGAATGTACTAATGACTAACTGTTTGAATATACTATTTATATTGTGTGTACTTTGTACTCATTATAATTATGATTGAGATAGTCCATGGAAGCTCTGTCAGCCTTTTTTTATAGAAAAAAGAATGTTTTTTAAAGGAAAAAGGAAAGGAAAGTAAACTTACACTTATAAAATGTTTACATGTAGCATGACTTCTATTTTCAGTCTGTTTTAATTAATTAATTTAACTATTTAATGATAAATTGTGGCAAATTATGCTTCTTGGTTGTAAAATTAAGTTGTAGTACTAAGTTTTCATAGATTTTTTAATTTTGATTCTTTGGATAAATAAATTACTTTAATTTTTTTACAGTTACTGCTTTGTCTTGTAAAGAACCAAGGTGTTCTTGATTATAATATAATATCCTAACACTGCTGTAGTGTTGCTGCTAAGATAGATTTTATATAATTTGATAATGTTAAGCACAATTATAGTGCCATTAAATACATTGTAATCTGCCCGATAAATTTTGTAAAACCGACATTTGGCATCTTTATGTTCAAGTTATATCAGCAACTTTCCAACGAGATATGATTTCAGGTTATTTGAATCCTTATCAGCAGAGTGTACCAGGTAAAGTATTTTACTTCAGTTACTTTTTGTCATCGTTCCAAGGGCAAGCCTTCCTTAGTAACCCCGCTCCTTTGGCATCACCTTAGGGCAAGATGAGTCAATACTGAACCTTGGCTTGGTGACATGTTCCAGATAGTGCTCTTGTTATAGATTGATTAAAGCAGCTGGCACAAGTGGACTTTATGCAAGCCACTATACCTGCACTGCGCCATACCTGCGCACTGCACTATACCTGCGCACTGCACTATACCTGCGCACTGCACTATACCTGCGCATAAGCGCAATACACGGTTAACCTCTCCTCAGGTATCTCAACACAGAGCCACTACAACATAACCCCAGCAGCTGCTCAAGTCAACCCTGTCAACCAGGCACAGGCGATATACGCTGCTGCATCTCAGATGATGATAGGTACGTTGCTCTAGACTACACTTATTACTAGACATTTCTAGCTTTTAGTGTAATTGTATTGCTATTTCAGTGGACAACTCTTCGCGGACAACTTATGATGAACTAAGGATAGTGTCATGAATTTAGACTCTCAAAACTGCTCCAATCCATACGTTTTCTAACAACATATTAAATGACAATAAAAACTGGATATATATTGTAACACTCTAACTCAGGTAATATGATGATGGACCACTTGTCTAGCAACAACAACAACAACAACAATAACAAGAGAAGAAAGAAGCGCAGTGGTTCACCAAAGCGCCGCATGCGATCCCGATCTGAGAGCCCTCAGCGCAACAAGAGAGCTAGGGATGGCAAGAGACGTAGAAATAGGTCCGTTATATTCATTGGTCAGGGTAGAAATTGTTGGTATCTAAACTTTATTAAGGTGAACTTTTCTGAAACAAGTTAGAATGGTGTGTTTATTTTAAATTTAAATGCATAATTAAATAACCCACTATGTCAGGTCCCCTACTTACAAGCGAAGTTACAATCGTGGCTCGGACTCTCCTCAAAAAGTTCAGAGACGTGAGGAAAGGAAAAGCGAAGAAATGAAAAAAGAAGATATGAAGATTGAGGAGAATGACGAGAACTTGTACCAGCCTCCTACTCCTGAGGAAAACGTCGTAGCGGTGGAAGCTGAAAGTGAGAATTGTAAGTTAGATCGTGTTTGTATATTTGAACGTTATTTTTTACAGTTATTCTTTTTCTTATTTCTACAATTTAGTTATTTATTTAAGAGACTTTTACAAAATCCAAACTGCTACAAAAATGTCTGATCTCTCTTATTTCAGTAATCATAATTCAAGATTTAATAGAGATGGTCTCCCTAAATAACATGAGTTAAGAAAGTTGTATAGTGTACAGTACCAATGCAACATGAGCTCTAAATAGAACTATTCAGATGTTCCAGACGGAAACAAGACCCCTGACTACAAAGCTGATGATGGGACACCAAAAACACCTGAATACGACGCCGTCACCGTAAGTAACACCTTTTATAGGTGTTAGTCACCCGTAAGCAACACCTTTTATAGGTGTTAGTCACCCGGAATATTCTTCATTCCTTCAAAAACTGCATTTTATTTAATCTAATTTCTTTTCGTTATCAATAGACTCCACAACCTGACTTGTACCCACATCACGCCCATTTACCTAATAAAATGTTCACTTTACAGGGATCAGCAGTCACTCCCCCTAGATCCGCCTCTCATCAAATAACTATGACGTCATCATCACAAGACAACAAGACGTCATCAAATAACAATAATCAATCAGACTTTATCACTTCGCCCCCTTCGGTTTGTTATGGAAATATAACTTATCGTTGTCTGACTTAACCAGTTTATAGCATATAAGCTATTGTCTGCTTCACACATTTGATTTTGGGTTACTTCGATTTTTCATTTTATATTTATCTTAAAGTACACCATAAATTGGATCTTATCATGTAATTTAATCTAACTGCATTTCAGAGGAAGACAGTAGCATCAGTGAAGGCCACATTGTCACTCAGCCCTAAGATGATCTCTCTAAAGAAGATAGGAGATACTCCAGACTTGTCAAGTCCTGTTCCAGATGTTGGAATAAAGTCTTTAGCAGGTAGCTTGTTTCTTTGAAATGAAATGAAATGAAATGAAATGAAATGAAATGAAATGAAAAAATGTGCTTGTAAACTGTAAAGGGTGAGGTGAACATATTTAGCAGTAAACCACTAAAATCATATGAATTATTTATTCAATTATTATCTATAACGATACGCAAAATGTTTGATCTCCTGTTTATCTCTGGCAATCTGCCAGCAAACTAATTTTTTGTGGACAGTTATTGGTCGTTGGAAGAGTATTCGCTCTACAGGTTTTCTAGCAAAATCAACTTTTATAGGAAGAACGTATATAATTTACCACTTTCCCCAGACATCCTGCGTGAACAAGCTCTGAAGTCAATGAAACGGAAACCGACACCAGAAAGAGAAATTGAAAGGGAAAGTGAGAGTGGGAGGAACACACGTGATGTCACACCAGATCTGGATAACTTCAGAACCCGCGCTGAGTCGCCCACTCTTGGTAAAACCCTCTCCTTCTACCATGCAGAATATTTCTTATTTCACGTTTAAAAACTGCTGAAATGATCTGCTAATTATAAGAATTTGTTTTGGTTCCAGCCAACTAGTAAGTTAAACGAACTTTAATCAGATCGTTCAACTACTGAGACAGCAAAGTTGGTTCGACCATTTGATGACATCGACAGAAACATGTTCAAACCTGAGAACAGTCTCAACTCAGATGAAGACGAGTAAGTCAGCATATTTAGAGTAATTTAGAGTAATTATCACTTTCTCTTACAAATTAGTTAACCGTATTTGAAGTCATTGATAGAGTAATGACTATTTAATTACTTCGTTATTACGAGATGGTGATTTCAAATTTCTTCTTTTGAAATATTTCTGTTCTAGTTTTTACTCGGACGATGAGTTTGATCCAAAGAAATATGAAAAGAATTCAGAAGACGAATTATTAGATAGTCCAGAAAGAAAACACGACTTTACTGGAATTACTATGAACTTTAAAGTTACTCCAAAAGTGGTAAGTTTGTGAATCCTTATTTAAAGAGTTTTTATTGTTCGTGTTTTTATTGGTTCGGTGATTTCAAGGAAGTCAGACTCCCATGAATGTGGAATTCCTCGTTATTGGTGGTAGAATTTGTTAGTGGAATTTTCTATGAAGACTTTTTCGTTACATTGAGTAACGATTGATCAAAACTAAAACACTGTTTTCGATCTGACGGGTGATGGGCTCTCTCTGATGGGACACGGTTCTAAGGGGTACCCGGGGTACGAGTTAACGAATAGTGTTCGTGTCCTTCCACAACCCCCTCTCATTGTGTTTTTGACGGAGGAGAAGCCTAGTTCATCCGCCTGCATCGCTTAATCGAGTTGAAAATTTAGCCAATAACAAACTAAATTACATGTTATACTGATAGCAGGTGTAGAGTTTATAACATACAAATTCTAAATTTTTGACGGCTGACGGTGGTAAGTCGCTATGTTTAATTCGGGACTTTTATAGTCTTGGAGCTCAAAATGTCTCGTGCTGTGAGCCGTATAAACGGCGCACACCACCGCCCCGCCTTTCTGCTTACATTACTTCATGGTTGCGGGGCGGAGCTGGTGCCGTTTGTCTCGGCCTCGAGTGGCGAGTGCTTGCCCATCGAATACACAATTGAAACACTAATTATTTATTGGAATTCTACAGTTTCCAAAACGAAGTACGAGGATATATTAACTTTGAGCTTTGTTTTGGCAACTGCTTCATCGATGGGCGAGTAGGTATTTGTTGTTTAGCAGTGTTGAATATTGGAGCAATTATATAATGCAATGTATATCTCCATCATAATATAGGCTAGTGTAAACATATATAATTAATAATACAAACAAATGGTATTAGTAACTCGCTAGATTATAGATGTTATTTAAACACATATGTTTACGTCAATTATTACTAAAATTAATATTCTTTTTGCTTTAATATAATTACATGTCACATAATGGATTAGTTGAATGAAACGTGTGCTACAAATGTCTACACCTCACGCAAAACTGCGTACCGCTTAGTACTTCATGCTTGAGCGGTACTGCGGTTGACAGTGGCGCGCACTCAATTTAATCACAAATAACGAGCGCGCGGTTTTTTGGAATCTCTCCATTATTATATTAATTAGGTCGCAGTGTTCACGGCCTGTACTGCGTGAACGTCAGAAATATCTTTTAAATTATTTTGCTTCTGAAATTTTGGCTCTAGAAATTAAGAAATGTGACATGTAATTGTAAGATAACAATTAAATAGATCATGTGCGCGGCGCCTACAGCTGACCTACGAATTTCTGAACATTTTTAAATTGTGGCTGTGTGCGCGGCGTACTGTATATGTGTTTGAAATTGAAATTTGAATTTATTTATGAATATAACATTATGTATTGATTGTTTTGTGGTAAATAAAAATTTTTCTTTCCTAAAAAATTTTTCTTTCCTATTTCTCAAATAACCCCACATTCTTACTATTTCTTATTATCCCAGACTAAAGATGAGAAACGTAAAGCAAAGATTGAAAAGAAGCGAGCTAAAGAGCTGAAGAAGAAAAAGAAAGAGGAGAAAAAACTGAAGAAACTCATCAAAAAACAAGGCCAAGGTTTGTAATATTATTTTAAAGCGCTTAATTTTTCATCGACTGATACCGATAAATTTGTATCATAAAACTGAATTGTGATTGATTAAGGTAATGTATCATATCGAATATCAAATTAATCGAAAACATTTCAGCAGATAATTTGGAGACTGAGACTTCTCCCAACAACTCAGATAGAGGTTTGTTAACACGTGACATTAGCACGTGACATTAGCACGTGACATTAGCACGTGATACTCTTTGTAAATTGTACCATCGAATTTCGTTCAAAGATTGCGGCACAAGAACATTTAATTATCTGTGTGCTTGTGGAACTATGATTTGTTAGTTATTAAAAGTATGACGTAAGCCCGCCATTGTTATTTTTCTCGAATAATAATCATACCACATTGAACTCGACCATGATATTGAGATAGGTCTACAAATGTTAGCATTCGGAAAGCCCAGACGTGACTAAAGTCTAATATTTTAGCATTCAAAAAGACGCGCATTTTGACATTACATGCACTAAATCCATTGCGCGCAACAAGTATTGACTGTCGCGCGCGAAAAGTGGCATGCAACGTATGTCAAGTTATTTCGGGAAATGCGATACTAAATAATAATCAAACCCAAATCATTTAATTTAATTCGCTGTTAGATTTACACTCAAATATCCTTAGCGGCTCCAGCCTGGCAACGAAGGTTAATCAGCTCTCACCTTACTGGAGCTGACAGCCCCGCAACTAAGTAAGTTTAAAGAAGCACAAATTCTTACGATAAGAATAGGCCAGGACTTCTCAAATTTCATTTATTCACTCCTTATTAAGGTTCATGTTTTAAGGAAAATGTTTGCGGTTAAGCAGATGTGTCCTTCTTGTGTATCCACAAATTAGTTACAAGTTTAATTTCAGTTCGCCCGATTCTTCCCCTCCGAGTACTCCTGATAATGATGACTCTGAGTTTCTTAAAACGCCTGAGAAGTGCGATCAGATATTCTTTGAGGTGGGTCTAGAAATTATTATTTTTGGGACAAAATTAGCTGACTTTTTTCGGGTTCAAGTAATTAAATTAAAACTGTGATAACGAATGGTTTCCAATACTACCATGAGATTATAATCTCCATCCTACACGGACTGTATAGCTTGTCATGTTTCATTTCTCGATAAAGAGCAGAATCAATAATAATAAAACTACGTAACTATTTTAAAATGAAAACTCCACCAGACCTCCCCATCTACTGAAGAACCGAGACCCAAAAGAAAATCCAAGAGAAAAGTAGTAGTCCTAAACAAAGATCCCACAAACAACACTCCCCAACAACCTGAAGTACCAGAACCTAAACCTGAAGTTAAAACAACTTCGCCCTCTGCTAGGAAACCGTTAGCAGCAGTGTTTAGTGCTACTATCAGAAGTCTTGTGCCGCCTAAAGCAGAACAGAGCAACACTGTATCAACTACTGCAAACAGACAGGTAATGTTCGTCATAGAAATGTGCTAACTGCTTATTAGTGCATAAACATTGGTGTAAACCAACTTTATCCAAGCTATAAAACCTTTAAAATTTCTCCTCGAAACAGCTGAATTTTTCCTTGTATAAACTTATAATTTCCCGCCAGGTTAAAGGATTTAACCCGTTTGCTCCATCATCCTCCCAACCTATTAGACCCACCCCTGCTCCAGCCGTTCCCACCATCACACCTCTAGTTAGACCAACTAGACCAGATACCGTACCTCTAGTTAGACCAACTAGATCGGATACACGTAAAGTTACAGCTGAGGTTAAACAGACAAGGAGGCTAGGAGGTGTTAAAACTATAAAGATCAGGAAAACGGTTCCAACAACAGTTCCTACAACGGTTCCAACAACAGTTCCTACAACAGTTCCTACAACAGTTCCTGAACAGAGGTTTACACCAGCAGTTACTAGTGTGAAACCTGTTGTTAAACCCCCTGTTGAACTGTCGCCTCCCCCTATTGAGTAAGTGTTTATTTAGTGATTGTTGTGGAATTAAAGAACTTGATTCGTCATTTAGATAATTTTCCTGACATTTTCTACCTCAATTTATTTTTATTACGCTTTCGCATGATTTAAGTTCTGACACCGAATGAATGATTTGTAGTCAAAATAAACATTGGTTCACTCCCATGATACGTCATTCTAATTCTATGTTTTAATAATTTACTAACTAATAAGTTTATAACCGTCACAGTGACGATCTTGACGATTTGGACAAGGAACTAGATCTCCTAAATGCAGCCCTGGACATTGAACCAGCTTCCTTCAAATCCAAGTCTAAACCAGAAACTAAAGATGATGATGACGATCTGTTCGCAGATATTGAAGAGTTCCTGAACGAAGAAAGAAGAAATCTTTGAGAAGATTTATTTTTTTAGTGGTTAAATTATTAGCTTTTAAATTTGCGCGGTCGTTGGTTATTGGAGGAACTGTGGAAGAACTATTATTGTTAGCTGAAAGTGTTTTATAGGTCCAGTAAAATAATTTGTATGTTGGTAAATTATTTACATCAGTTAGTGGTTTGAGAGGTCAAGTTGAATCTCGTATAACCTGCTTAGATTTGGACTGGGGGTATGACTGGCATAGAATTGTGTTTAAAATGTGACACGCCACAAACTATGAATAATTCGACACCTAATTCAAATGTAGAAACATGTTGAGATGATGATAACAGAAATATTATATAAAGATCCGCTTCATTAATGCTACAAAGTACAAATGCATGTAGTGAAACTTTCAAATAACTTACAGCTGTTTGAAGTGGGTCCAAATTATTTTTGATGGGTTGAAGTTACGGTGTTTAACATATGCTATTACCTTATTTATCTTCCAAAAATAACGAAAAATGTTGAAGGTCTACTGTGTACTGAATTTTCAATTTTTGTCAAATCGTTCATGTTCTTGGGCTTGATTTCCTGGTTATTTGTGCAACTGGACCTTCATTGATCTGTTTCCCCCCTTTTTATTAATTTTCCGTTTTTCTGCTTGGTAAATTGGATGATTGTTAGCGATGGTTTTCCTCAGGCAATCCCGATAGTAATTGTGGAAACTATTTTAATGTTATCTGGTAAAATCAGTTACATTTTATCTACACATGATGTTTTGTCTGGTTAATTACAGTGAAAAATGTGGGTAATCTTATTAATTTCGCTTATTATTTCAATCAATTCTCAAATCTATTATTTTACTTGTATAAAAGAAGCATCGATACCTTACCTGGGAGTAATATGTAATTCGATGTACGAGTTCAGACTCAGAGTTGAACTGGAATGATCGCATATTTATATTGATAAACAATGCAAAGTGATTACAATCGCTTGGTTGTACTTGTAGGTTTATAACCTATCAGGACGCGCGCCGAGTTGAAACAAATATTTTACGAGTATCACCGGCCGTTAATCGCTTAGTCATAACATTACTAATTTACCTAACTAATTGCTAGTCTATTGCTCACTACTCTCACGTATAGAAGCGCCGAGCAGTGGTATTAATTAATTGGGATTTAAATGGCGCGCGTGCCAGGTAAATTGTTATTAAAATAACAAATTGCTCGTCCATATTAATGAACTCGGTATGTCGCACAATTCGAAAAAATATAGACACATTCTATTTATTATAATATTCGTTTAGGGAATATAATAGTAACTAATCGTTATGGAATACATCATAACTATTCTGCAAATTGAACAAAATATTAAAAACAGAAAAGCCGCACGCATGCGCGTTAGATATTTCGCAATAATAAGTGACAGTGCTTACTAAAATCGAGCGCTGCGCTGTATATTTTGAAACTGGCGTTTAAACATTAAACGAGTCTTCCAAATTTTAATTTTTTTTTTCTTTGAATGAATCTCTGTGCGGGGATATCATAAAGTCATTTGGAATTATTTTGAACTCCGGTAGAGCTTGGTGAATCTTTAAATTCTCATTCATGGTGTGAGATCACGTGAGATTGGCTAAAATTACACATATTGCCACATGCAGATAAGTCAGGTGGTACAAGAATCTTCGATTTGAAATCCTTAGAACAACAGTGATTTCTCTCCGGGGAAACAGAGGGGCAAGAAAGAACTTTGTTATGTGGATATAGAGAGTCTAGATTTGAACTTGGAGACACAAGGCCAACTAGGGTAAATTTCAAATGTTTCTGCCAATATTTAAGTTGGGGAATATATTGAATTTTTGAAAGTTTCATTTTATATAGGGTCATTCATCATTGTGAATGAATAAGTTTATATATGAGTAATTATTCAATGATTGGATGCAACATATCAGCTTCACCATTTGAAAAACCCTGCAGATCCTGGTGGCAAGTGGCCTTCAGGAAAAATTCACTAAACTTGCTAAATGTTTTAAGAAGGGCTTCAATAACTGCTCTTACTGACATAATAGCAACAAAACGGCTACGTTGGTTTGGACATGTCAGTAGAATGCCTGAAGATCGGTTACCTAACTATCTACTTGAATGGAAACCCAAGCATGGGAAACGATCAAGAGGCAGGCCTAGGAAGAGCTTAAATGATGTATTTATTGAAGATGCTGAGCAGAGATTGGATCGTAATGGACTCACGATTGATTGTATGAGAAGATTGGCTGCAGATCGAAAAGGATGGAGAATTATTACCCGTCGAAGTTGTATAATACAAAGTAATGACGCAGATGACGCAGACTAATCCTTTTGGATGGAGATCTCGCCATGTAACATGTGTATGTTGCTAAATGATAACACTTTCTGCACTGACTGTGAGAAACAGGATAGATCTGTTTTTTTGTCTAACATTCTTTTTTAAACCTTTTTAAGAGAGGTTGGGCCAAGATGGCCCACGAGAGGATAGCATTGAGATGCTCTGCCTACCTCTGGGGTATGGCTACCCAAACAGTATATATACAATAAATTAAATCAAGTGATGCAATTGGCAGAGCACAATCGTAAATCATGAGCAATAAATATCATCTATCCCTCGTAGCTCTTCTCTTCAGGTATCAGGTTGAAGGAGACACTGGATATAGGGGTGGTTCATACCTTCTTTGCCTTCACACGTACACCTCTAACTGCTACTAGAACACTCCTCTTTATATCCATGCTCAGGCGTGTCCTGATGTTGTACATCAACTGGCTGTAGTCTTCCTTCATCTTGATGGCTATCAACACAGCAAGTCTCTTATGAAACGCTTGGCCTCAGGTGCCATTCCTCCTGTTGTGGTAAATACAAGGGGGAAGAATGACCCTTTTTTCCAGTTGTAGCACAAGATAGATTCGTTTACATTTCTTGCTTGGTGGTGTATCAGGCAATAAATCACTTGACAATACATTCATTGTCTTATTTTGCAGTAATGACTTACGATGTTATTACTTATTGGAAATATCTCTCTCCAATATATATGTTCTTTTAGAGTATTGGAAAAGCATCATTTATTTAACGGCAATTTTTTTCTTCTGGGCCTAAGGTCATACTTTTTGATCACTTCCTTAAAGAATATATGCTTTAATCTGAAGGCTTAATAAAGACGTATTTTGGTAATTAACTACCTATTGTAAGGCATTTGTGTGTGGCTGTTTTTATTTATAGTTGATTTAACTATTCAAATATTCTTCCAGCTTTAAAATGAACATTGCTCTTCGTCATGTGATAAGAAACTCACTTGGATTAGTCAGAAATTTTTCCACTGAACCTGCAAATGAAGTAAGTGCATTTGAAATGTGTCAGCAATTTTTGATATAATTTGAGTTGCTCCAGTATGCCATTTTGATAGAGATATTATAATGTATTATATTGCATATCAATACGATCATAATTTACATTTTCGCTTTAATTAGGTTGCCCCACCAAAACAACAGGATCCTTATGTGGAGCACCATAAAAAGCACCATTTTATATATCACATAGGTAGCAAGTAACAAAATTTAATGTGTACTTTATGAGTATATTTTATTAGCATCTAAATTATTGAACATTCGTTATTGTTGCGAAATTTTATAATTCAATTCAGTACTCATAAAATCAATTCTCTCAGGTTTATCACGTCAAAAGGAAGAATGCTACAGATAAATCATTTGAACAACAAAATGCTCCGTATTTGTCCCATCCAAAATCTTCAATTCCATCCCAGCAGTATGTAAAAATAGATAAAACATTTCAAAAACGATTAGAAGAATCAAAGGATGTCTTCAATCAAGAAATAACAGCAGAAGTTATGAAATCATCTCATCAGTTTCGTCAACCTTATTCATCTCAACCTACCTCCCAAATAGCATTCCTCACTAAAGAAGAGCTTGAGGTGGCCAATGAGAATGCTCGGAGAAGGGTTGTAGAAATATTAGACAGCAAACCTGTTCCTTCTACTGTCAGACCAGATGTTTCTCAGGCTGTAGAAAATGATCCGGGTTTGGCATGGCTTTATGACAGTTCAATAACTTTTGTTGATTGCAGTAAAGATGCTTCTGATCAGGTGTGTACACTACATCATTTCTTACTTTAACTGTAATCTATTGGATTTCTTAAAAGTCCTGTTCTTTGAAAAAGTATGGTCATAATTATATTTGTATCATAATGAAACTTAATGGTGCTTTAATTTCAGGATAGATACATCGTAACTCGAAACATTGATGGGTCTCTTACTCATGACCAACACCCAGAAAGAGACATAATCCACGGCAACTTCTTTAAAAGACCTGATCAAATTTACCCACCATTCGATTTTCTGGAATCGGATGAGCTTTTCTCAGAGATTTTAAGTTCAGATGAGTCAGACAAATTGGGCATGCTTGATGCGTTGCCACATTGTTACACTTCTGACCACCCTATCTTTCAAAAGCGTTTTAATCAGATCACAGATGCGATGCTTAACAACACTTCATTAATGGATTCAATGATTCTTTCCAACCATTTTGTACCTATGATAGAGAGAGCGTTGACCAACAAGCATCATGATGTCTCTCTCCTAATCAATCATCTTCATAATACAGGGAGGTTGGTGTTTCTGTAATTATTTCGTAAGAATGTGACCGCATTATAATTAATCTCTAATGATGGCTTAAATTTAATAAGTGGCCCTACTTTTTATAACTGGTCCAAACTTTTGACACTTGTAAATTTGTTTCACTTCCAGGACACAGATTGCTGCAGAACTGACAAGTTTAGTCTACTACAAAGATAAACGAGCTTGTAAAAAGATGGAAACATACCTTGCCGGTCAAGTTCTCATATTTAATGGGGCAGCTATGAAAGTTTCGCTTGATAGAACGCGCCGGCTGAAAAAAGATGAGAAGACTATCAAGGTAAGGAAAGTATTAATTATAATAATTATAATTATAATAATTATAACGTCACACCCAATATTGCCCCATTATTGCCAACTCTGATATGATACATATTACATATTCTGTAAATATCAAAACTTTAGTATCACAGAAATTATACATATCTCTTTTATTTCAGGTCAGCTTGATATGCGATGTGGACGTACAAGAAGTCAAATCTGTAAAAAACAGCTCAGACGGAAAAGCCTTCATTGCCACCTTGAAAGATCACGAAGTTGCAGAAAGTCTCCATAACCTCGGGAGAGGAAATTGCAAATTTGTGAACTCTAATAAATTTGAATTCTTCCCTGTTAAGGGAAAAATTAATAAGAAAAATAAGAACTGATGAGACAAATAAAAAGTTACTTACAAGTTTTTCTATCAATAATGTCTAACATTTGGTTGCCATAGTTCCTCTAATTTATTATGAGTTAATTTATTCTGACTGTACAGTGTACTTAAAGGCAGGAATTTAGATTAATTGAACTTTTATAAGAATCTATTTTCAACTGTTTTATAACTTATAAATTGCTTGTTCTACAGTTTGGCAGTTAAGTAGACCCGCTGTCACGCTATATCTTCTTCAGAGCAACTTAAAAACTGGACTGTATAGTTTTAAAATAACTGGCTAGAAATAACAGGCTGTTATATTGATGCCGAGAAACAATTTGAAATTGATCTAATCTCAGCTGAATTTCGATATGTCTGTAGTTTAACTGCAATAAACAAAGTTTACAAAGTAGCTTAAAACTTCAGCTACTCCTTGAGGATAAAATATGTAATATTACCAATTGCGTCATGAATTGTATATTTCATAATAATCCGTCCAGGTAAAACCAATATGGCGGATTAAAAGAAAATAGCAACGTCTGTAGTAACCAGTAGTAACCAGTAGTAACTAGTTGTAACGTCTGTCAAGATCTTATCTTGACTGCCAACATTTGATGGAATGGCGTAAGCTGAGGCAAATCATACAACAAGCTAGGAGCCAGGCTAAATCTCAGAATGGTACGTGGTTTTTAACATCTCACTAAAAGTATCTTCCTTACTGTGTACCTCAGCTCCGATATCCAAGTTAACAGATAAATACCACAAATAACATCTATAATGATGGTAAAAGCACAGTAAACCTGCTCGATGATTGCTCGCGTTTTTAAATCTTAGTTATCGTAGATTAAATTATCTCTCTTTGCTCCCCCCACGACACCTAAATACTCCAGGTAAGATATGGTACGATCTGTATCAGGAGCACATAGTGTCCCAACTAGATGGTAGTACAGACGACATGTTGTTCTACGTGAGACACAGTACACCCCAGCTAGATGATCCTAGTACTCTATTAGAGATATTCAGGGTAGAGGACGTGAAGAAACCTGACTTTAACAACAGGTGGACCAAAATTATATTAATTTGAGCGGAGTGGGCTAGAATTAAAGCAATGTCGTTAGGTTTTATGTTTTTAACAGTAAGGTGAAAATAATGTTATCGGTAAAGATGTTTGACATGAACTTTTTTTAAAAGTTCATTCTGGCCTAGAACTCGTCATTGAAATGCTTCTTAAATTATTTAAATATCTTCATTTGAATGTTGATGACATGCAACAAATTTGTTATCAAAAAAGGCATACTGATAATTTTCCCTTTAAACTGACCTGATAACTTTACAGGAAGTATAGTTGGATGGAAACGTTTTATCTGAACATGCTGCTTCACCATTTCAACTTCATTATGACGTGCGCGGTGTGTGAACAGAAACCACCAGGCAAGGCTCTCAAGATATACAGGTAATTACTTAATTACTAGATACTATTGGTTATTACTAGTTACTATTGGTTACTACAGGTTACTACAGGTTACTACTGGTTATTACTAGTTACTATAGGTTACTAGAGGTTATTACAGGTTACTATTGGTTACTACAGGTTACTATTGGTTACTACAGGTTACTATTGGTTACTATTGGTTACTACAGGTTACTATTGGTTACTATTGGTTACTATTGGTTACTATTGGTTACTATTGGTTACTATTGGTTACTACAGGTTACATAATCTGGGTACTGGCGGGGTCTTTCTATCATATTACCGTTTTCTTGCGTCGAAGTTGTCTATCTGTTGATCATCGTACTGATCTTCTATACAAAACCTTAGTTCGTTAAATAAGTCACGTGATCTAACAACCAATATAACAGTGTTCCCTTGTTCCCGTTAAATAACTCACGTGATCTAACAACCAATATAACAGTGTTCCCTTGTTCCTGTTAAATAAGTCACGTGATCTAACAACCAATATAACAGTGTTCCCTTGTTCAGGAGTTTTAGTGTCCCTGTGTACGGGTCTCCCAACAAACACAACATGAGCGGTAAAGCTAAGAGCACTAGTATTTCCTATCCTAACATTTACTTCTCTGTTTTTAACTTTGATGAGATCTTCAATGGGATTGTTCTTACTGATAATGAAATGGTTGGTTGGATTAAGTTAAATTAGTTAATTAACTGAGTTAATTAAATAGTTTACTTATCTCTTGATTAATTATATATTTTTTGTCTTCCATAGTATAACTGACGCACTGCTAACCGTACCAAGAATCGGGAATCCTCTTCTGAACTTGGATACTTATTTTATATATTTATTTATATAACTTAAAATCATTGTTTTAGGTTTGCGTTGAGCTGGTAGCTGTTGACAAAGCAGAAACAGTACAAATATCAGTTTTCCTGGGATCTATCAGATACGAGATACTGAGATCAACCTTGGAGAACAGGGTCAGTCCACATACTACCATTCCTTTAAACCGAGATTTTCTTGCAGCTCCTTGACAAATTCACATCAATTTTACTGTTAAAATAATAAAATAACTGTTTTCAGCCGCGATCAATCAGTCAATTAATTAATTAATCAGTCAATTAATTAATTAATTAATGAATTGATGAGCAATCATCCTTAATTTAAAAAACACCCTCCTCATTCCTCTCCTCCCAGGCAAGTCTGAAGAGTAAGTTCCTGAAGCAAGTTTCTCTGGGTCTCTACCCTGGAGAACAGACCTCTCAGTTCATCACAATGAATGGTCCCAAGTGTAGAGGCAGAGTGGAAATGTGTGTCAGTTCTTTTAAACCGGATATCAACAAGGACTTCGTTGTCAGGTAGAATTTCTTTACTCGACTGAAATTCATGAGTAAGTCTTCAGAGCAAGAAGGTATTGCAATCTCGCCATTCAAACTTTCTGACAATTTGGACAGTTTAAATCTCATATCCTCTGACTAAGCTCCTCCTTTAGTTTTGACAGAGAAGCAGATCACCTGGAGACAGAAGGCGGGAAAGGAGGGGGAGGGTCCTCGGTAAGGTCTGTTAGTAGGTCAAGTGAACCAGACACCTCAGATAGTAGGCGACTCAGCTCCAACTCCAAACAAAGGTTTGATAAAAGTTGCTTTTAAGGGCGGGAACTTCATCTAGCTTTAACAGGACAGGGTTGGGTACAAGGTCTTAAATATTTACTCAATAACAGTTGCAGATTGCAGAACTGCTTTCTTTTTGTTTAGATATCGAAGTTCACGAAGATACTTTACTAATTATCAAAAAACTAACCCTAATTAGCACTAATTAACTCTAACTAACACTAATTACCCCTAATGAGCACTAATTAACACTAATTAACACAGCTGCTCCCCCAGATACGTATCTAACAACTGGGTATTTAAACCCTCTTCCTCCCACAACTACGTTAACGCTCAGCTAACCTATCTGACTCTCCGCTGGGACGAACTTCTAGACGACCTGATAGAGTGTAAAAAGAAGCCTACTCTTAAAAGCAGATAGATTTTACTGAACTTGTAAAGGCATGTTATCAAGTGTGCACTGTGCAGTTATCACCCTTAAACTTACTCAGTTTCAATTGAGTTATGGTTAATTTGACATTATATAATATCGTCCAGTTGTTTCTTTTTTGTAATGTGATTTTTAAAAGTCCAGTGGGTTAATAAATTATGTTTTTGAAATTTTGAAGCTCTATTTTTGATCATACTGAAGATTTACATGTTTTAAGGTATTTTTTACCTATCTTTTTATCACTAAAATTATTAAACATAATTCGGTGGTACGTGTGATGTGACACTGTTGATTGACCCAACAGGTTATAGCAGATATTAAGTTTCTCTTTTTGTTGAGTTTATGTATATAATTACAGAAAGATATAATTAATGATGGGTAAGAACAGTAATTATTGTACTATATATACTTATATAGCTGAGTTGTAGAAAAAAATATATCGAACAAAATGGAACATTCTCGAAACGTGGTGAATCAAATTGCTCGTTCAGCTAAATATGTGGCGACGGCATCTTATGTATTTATATGTGTAATACAAGACACATCTAAACCAGAATATTCGGGTTAATGAGGTCCCATCTATTCAATTATCTCCGCTTACCGTGCAAGTCAGCTGTTCTTATCTCATTAGACACGTTATCTTGTGACTACACCACAAGGAGTATCTCAAGGAGCAGTATATCTGTCATGTAAGACCACGTTTCCAAAACTTCGTCAAAAGTACCACTACCGCTCGGCGTGGTGGACACTCTTTTGAGTTCTGTGCCATGCTAGCATATTCTACAATCATTACTGAAGTTGTATCTCAAGTATTGTTACTCGTCATTTATGTGCTTCTTTGCCGTGGACTGGAACATGAAGTACGACAACCCGGACACTTTCGGATAAACCTCATCAAACTATTGAAATAAGTACCGTACCCCCTTTAGCCCCCCCCCTTTCTATTTGGTACACTAGACCTCTACCCCCCCCCCCCCCCCCCCCCCCCCCCGGCCCCCTGGAATCACATCACATTACCCTGCTGACCAACCTTCCAGAACTATTATTGTACTCTTGCAGAATATTCTCGTGATCATTCATTATTCCTTGGTAGATTGTTCTCCTCTCCCATTAATGTAATGCATTTTGTTATTTAGCAGTCTGCCTATTGCTGAGACACGAGATTATTGTACCGCTAATATGTGTGCTTTTTAAATTATAATTGCATTTAACAGTAATGAATTTATTAGTCAGTAAAAGATCCGATTGTGATCGGCATTTTTGTTTTTCCCTCTTTTTTGTTTGTTTGTTTGTTTGGTTTTACGTATCAGATGCAAGGCTAGATTTAAAATTGTCCTTTAAGGTCAAAATCGTTCTCAGTAGAATGTTCTCAAGTAAGTTTCTAGAATTTTCTAAATCTTATAAATGTTAGTCAGATTTTATAGAAAAAGCTGTTTTTATTCTCTGGTTAAAGTTTGTTTCTATATTAGATTTAATTTATGTTTTCGAATATATAATTATAATCATTGTTTTAGTAAATTCTTTTTGATTCATTACAGAATACAGGTAATAAATGTATTATATAAAGTTTGTGAATTTGTTGAGTTTTAGTTCAAGTAAAGGTTTCAGAAACAAACTTATATGCGATTGATGTTGTTTATTAAAAATTAGCACAAATAATCATTAATCACTTGAATTTAGAGCTTATCTAAAATTGCTATCGTAACTGTTCAAAAAGTGTATTTATTATTTATCCTAAATTTAACCATCCATTTAACTAATTATTCAACTTATTTTCTAATTGATAGATTAACTAATTAACCGTAATAAGTGAGTTAGTGATGATCAGGTCAATCCACGCTCGTCAGATATTTGACAGTAGAGGTAACCCAACAGTTGAAGTGGATGTTACAACTAACTCCGGTTTATTTAGAGGAGCTGTACCTTCTGGTGCTAGTACCGGTTAGTTAGTTAGTTAGTTAGTTAGTTAGTTAGTTAGTCTGAAAGTTTGTTAGTTAGTTAGTTAGTTAGTTAGTTAGTTAGTTAGTTAGTTAGTTAGTTAGTTAGTTAGTTAGTTAGTTAGTTATTTAGTTAGTTAGTTAGTTAGTCAATTTGTTTGTTTGTTTGTTTGTTTGTTTGTTTGTTTGTTTGTTTGTTTGTTTGTTTGTTTGTTTGTTTGTTTGTTTGTTTGTTTGTTTGTTTGTTTGTTTGTTTGTTTGTTTGTTTGTTTGTTTGTGAGTTTATTGACTGCTTTTTTCTGTTAGTTTTTCTGCTTGAATTTTTTCCATTTCACCCTTTTGTAAAAAGGCAATAATGAAAGGTTACGAATGGTCGTTTTTGCAGAAAAACGTGGATTTTGGAGATTGCGGTAGGTGGGTCAAATATATGTTGTGTTCCTTACTTCCGTTTGTTACCATGTCAACTTGCCGTCGCACGCGTGCAAGGATTGCTTGCGGAGATGTGGTGTATAGCTAGCCTGTGGTCAATGAATGCGCGGCGCGAGCATATTTTAATGTATACTATGAGTATGTAATGTAAAGTATTATGTAATAAGCCCAATATGTACGTGCCATGCGTAGTGTAGTACTGATGTGTTTCAATATTTTTATTATGAAGTGAGCTGATTAGTCGATTAGAGCTTAAATTTATAGTGAATGTTGAATGGAAATCTAGCGTCCGCCAAAACGAAACAACGGGCGCAATTCTTGTTCTGTCTACAGGTCTAATTGTTTGTATCCAGTATGTTATGAAAAAAGTTGCCTTTTCGCTCGTTTGTTTGTTCATCAATAGTTAATCGATAAAAAGATTTTAGCAAACGCGATGTCACTTCATGGTCGATGCAAACAACATGAATGTAACCACAAACAAGGATCGACCGGGGCCGCTTTTTTGGCCAGGCCCGAGACTGGAAAAAAGTGCCGGGACTAGTCAAAATTCGGCTGATTTTTTACCGAGACTGGGATTAAGCCGGGATCCCGGTCGAACCTTGACCACAAATATTATCCCAACAATACCACCAGTATTACCTCCACCATTCTAATATTCCCCATCTACAGGAATCTACGAGGCACTTGAGCTCCGTGACGGAGACAAGGCGAACTACATGGGTAAAGGTGTTAGTCAGGCTGTAGATAACGTTAACAATAAGATAGCTCCTGCTCTTATCGCTAAACAGTTCAATGTAACTGAGCAGAGTGCTATTGATAACTTTATGTTGGAGATGGATGGGACCGAGCATAAGAAGAATCTGGGTAAGTGTTGTTTTTTAATTAGTTTATAATAAGTTGATTGCTTTGTAATTAGATGTTGTTAATCATTGTTATTTACAAATTGTTGGCGAATTTCAGCTGATCTTATAGAGATCAGGCCACCATCGGTTTTAATCTTTAAATTTGTTCAGCCACTTTGTGTCTGAAAATTAAATTGTAACAATTATAATCATTATTAATATAACATTGAGTATGTCCACCCTGTTGTTAACCTAACAATATGTTGTATAGTACGATATGAATATGAGCCTAAACCTATGTTTTGTATTGTAAGATATAAATGACCCTAAACCTATGTTTTGTATAGTAAGATATAAATGACCCTAAACCTATGTTTTGTATAGTAAGATATAAATGAGCCTAAACCATGGCCCTAATAGGAGCTAACGCTGTTCTGGGGGTATCACTAGCTGTGTGTAAAGCAGGGGCTGCTGAGAAGGGTGTCCCACTGTACAGACATATTGCTCAGCTGGCTGGAAACGATAAGGTTCGTTGGGTTGACTTCTAGTTTAGTTTTCCTCGTACAGTTCAGAGTTCTGGGTCAGGCGTTGAATTCGCTTTAATTTCGAGGTCGTAAAATCTTCTGAAGAATCTGCTGCGCGCCATCTCCTAACGACATGGAATTGATTAAAACATGAAGTTAAAGCGCTTTTTCTTGAGTGCGCGTAATTAAATAATTGAACAGACCATGCATATATATTTGTTGATCTGGTTTTAAAGAGCTACCTTACGGCTTACTTAAACAAGCTTAGGGGGGAACATTTCCAATTGTTATTTCAATAGAGCAAGGTATATGTAATGTGAGCAACACGAGATGCTCCTAAACTTATTTATAAATCTGCTCATTGGAGACCAAGTTAATTAACATCGTAAATTTAGCTTGAACCTGCAACATGACACGAAAGATAGGAACCCACATTTTTTGTTTATCAATAAGTTTATAGGGTATAGGGGCACATTTCTTCATACCATAACTTTACAGGTAATCCTACCTGTCCCAGCGTTCAATGTAATAAACGGAGGTTCCCACGCGGGTAACAAGTTGGCCATGCAGGAGTTCATGATTCTTCCTGTGGGTGCGGCCTCATTTACTGAGGCCATGAAGATTGGAAGCGAGGTAATTCATTGATGATTTATTCAATTACTGGTTACCGAAATTGTTCAAACTGTCAATCAAAATGCTGATATGTTAATTAATTTTCATAATTTAGGACCAGAAGTATATCTTATTATCTGGTAAGGATCCAGTAAATCTAACCTCACATTAGGTGTACCACAATCTTAAGAATGTGATAAAAAGTAAGTACGGACTGGACGCTACTAATGTGGGAGATGAAGGTGGATTTGCTCCAAATATCCAGGATAACAGAGAAGGACTGGAGCTCGTCATGACTGCAATCAAGTAATTAGCGTTAATTAATTATGTGATTATTAGCGTTAATCAATTCTCATTCTTATTCTGTTAGGAGCGAGCTTAAAAATTTGCACCAAAATTTCAAACACCTATTTCAACAGTTCTACTTTTAATCAACTTTGCAACCACAATTTTTTAACGTAGACGTTATTGCGTTTTTTTTCTGTTGCTATTTTAAAAATATGTGTAGTGTATATATAGTGTATGTGCATTAGCTGAAAGCTAAAACTGAATTCTTTCAAAGAGTAGCTCGTAATCTCGGATACCTGATCTTCGTTTATGGATGTAATGGCAATATTATTTATCCACTAACCGAACTATTTATAAAATTATTCAATTATCATTGAATAACAATATTGTCAAAACCTTGCAAAAAAGTTAATTGCATATGGTAACTTTATCGGAGTAATAATTGCTTTAATGTCCACAGTTCCTAGAAATATTTATGTGAAATTAGAAATACAGTAAATATGTTAACCGATCTTCACACCACAGGAAGGCAGGTCACGAAGGTAAAGTAGAGATTGGCATGGACGTAGCTGCTAGTGAGTTCTTCAAGGAAGGTAAATACGACCTGGACTTCAAAAACGCAGACTCCAAGGAAGCGGACCACCTGTCCTCAGATGCACTAGAACAAGTGTACCACGAGTTCATTGCTAACTACCCCGTAGTTAGTATTGAGGATCCGTACGATCAGGATGATTGGAATGCATGGAGTAAGCTTACTGCTGCCACTGATATCCAGGTTGGGATGGCTTTTAGTTGTGATCTTACTTTTGTATATTGTTTTATAATTATAAACTGTTAAGTTTACTTTTACTGTTAAGTTTACTTTTACTTTTACTGTTGTAGTAGTTAGCATGATGTTTATATTTTATGTTAGTTAAGTTAAATAATGTTAAAGATAAAATTTCTAAGTTCGTACAAATAGTCCAGTAAACTTCTGAGCTGTAATAACTTTACAGATAGTTGGAGATGATCTACTGGTAACCAACCCTCGAAGAATCAAGACTGGAATTGAGAAGAAGTCCTGTAACGGTTTACTTCTGAAAGTTAACCAGATTGGATCAGTTACAGAGAGTATTGAGGCCTGTAAACTGGCACAGAGTAACGGATGGGGAGTGATGGTCTCCCACAGGTTATTACTGGATAATTACTTGTTGATTAGTGGAAAATTGCTTGATAATTAGTGTATAATTATGTTACAATAACTGGACAATGACTCCTTAATAACTGTATGATTTACTAGTGGATAATTGATTACTGGATAATTAATCACTGGATAATTAATTACCGGATAATTCCAACAGGTCGGGAGAAACAGAAGACACATTTATAGCAGACCTGGTAGTTGGTTTGTGTACCGGACAGATAAAGACAGGTGCCCCGTGTAGAAGTGAGAGACTGGCAAAATACAACCAGATATTGCGAATAGAGGAGGAGCTGGGAGATGAAGCTGTCTACGCTGGCAGAAAGTTCAGAAACCCTCTCAATTAGAGCCTGCTTAGTAGCTTTCAATATTATTATGTTTAGTTTATGAGTTAGTAGTCCAGGCTAGTGTTTTTGGACTGAACAGTTTAAGCTTTGATTTATTTCATATAGTACTATTAATTATGGTTCTGAATTTTTGAGCAATATTGTTTTCCAAACTTTGAATTTTTCGTTCGCTATGTTTTCCACGTTTTAGTGCATACAATTAAATTTTTCTAACTTTCTTTTGGAAGACTATTAAATTATTAATTTCGCACATCTTCATTAAATTATCTAGACGCATGGTTTAGATCTAAGAGTTTTAATGTTCGTGTGACAAAGAATGTCAAAATTAGAATATATTTATAACTAGCTTGTCATGTTTGATAAGAATTTGTTGTAAAGTCACGAGTTTTAATTCTAAGACTAATGGAATTATTTCTAAATTTATTTTTAAACTAAACATCAATAATGAAGATTAAAGATTAAATATAAATGTGTCATGTGGTTGATTATGCCAATTTCCAAACCTTCGCCGTAAAATTGCAAAAAAACTGACTTTCGGCCCAAAAGTAGACAAAGGAACCATTAATTTTGTTTCACGTCGTAACCCCCATTAATTGTTCACTTAATTTTACTTATATATAGTGTATCGGCCATCGGGGCGAAAGCCACGAAATAGGCGCGCACTCGTGCGGCGCGGGCCTACAACACGTGTATTTGTAGCGCGATGCACTACTGGGTCGCGCGCGCATCAAATAATGCTTCTCGCAACCACAAAAGCCACCGTATGCAGATCGGCGAGATGCGAAGGATCGACATCGTGAATCAAAAATAGTATCAAAATTTAGCCATTATTTTAGGATTTTTCTGCCGAGGAACATGTTCCTCGGCAGAAAAATCCATCGAACTAAAATCAAAATTTGAAACTTTTTGCGCACACTTCATTGCATTTTTGGTACTTTAGTGCTCAATATGCTATATTTTACGCAAATTTTTCCACGTATATTACTTTCGCTTTTACTAAATCGCTCGCCCAAATTTTAAGAAAAATCTTGTGAAAAGGCCCTTTGGGCATGAAATTGAAAGTAATCTGAATCGGTGTATTTTTGGACGCTGATTCCGAATCACCCCCATACCATGACGTAGGGTTAAAATGCTTCCCTGGAGAGTTATGGGAAAAAAACCGTTTTGGTCACGTGACAGGCTAGTAAAATACTAATTTGATTGTTTAGGGCTCGGGTTAGGGTTAGGGTTGTGGTAAGGGTTATGGTTAGCTTCGGCCCTTTGGGGTTATGGTTAGGGTTAGGGTTGAGATTAGGGTTTATGTAAAACCGTTTTGTACGGCTGCAAAACCATAAATACCAAAGTCACGTGAAATTTTTGGGCGAGCGAATTAGTAAGAGCCTTGATTCACGATGTCAATCCTTCGCATCTCTCCGATCTGCATGTGGTTGCGAGAAGCATTATTTGATGCGCGCGCGACCCAGTAGTGCATCGCGCTACAAGTAAGAGCCATATTACTTTACACGATATATCGTGTAATATAAGGATTGTTCCCGCAAGATCGGCGAGATATACCATTGGGCTGCACGCCGATCTGCGGAGGTCGAAGGATAGACATCGTGAATCATTATTTAAAATGATATTTGGAAATCGAACAAAAATTTGAGGCGCGCATATTTTCGACAACTTACACTTTAATGTGAAAATCGAGCGCTAAAGTGAATACAGTTATATTTTTACAAGAATACCTTTTTAGTGATATCATAATTCACTTCAGAACTAACTCTCGTCTTAGCTGTTTGGTAGTAGTTGCTCGTGCTGCCTGATGCAGTCTCCCAGCCATACAATGCAACATTGGTACCCATTACAAATTAATAATACACGAACTTTATCTTCTGCTTTCCTTTTCTTACGTACCTCCTCAACAATCTTCTTACTAGCTTTTGTTCTGCAGCACACCAAGTCAGGGCAGATGATCTAAACACTGCTCTAGTGCATAACAGTTCATATACTTACTCTTTTTCGAAATCAAAGCTCTTCAGGTTAACATGATTATCCACAACCCTCATCTTCAATAGAGGAATCTGGATTCAACGTGCAAGGATATGCAGATGACCACCAGGTATACAAAACCTTCAAACCTTGTGATCAGGTTAATGTTTTGGGTGTTCAACTTTTAAATTCCGCCAGGACCATACAGCGCTGGATGGTTGAATACTGCCTACAACTCAACCCAGGAAAAATACTTGTGATTGCCTCACCTCATGTGTTGAATCAGATATCTTTAGGAGGAGTACAGCTGACAAATGACACGTGTATCAGATTTGTCAGCACAACAAAAAATCTTGGTTTGCAAATCGACCATCACCTTACCTTTGAGCCTCAAATCATGTCCCTAAAAAAACATTGTTTTAGACTCCTCAGGAATGTTATCAGAAGAAAGTATCTTTTTAGTAAAACTCAGCTTAAGCTCATTGTTAATAGCATTATCGTCTGCAAACTGGATTACTGCAACGCCCTTTACTTTGGAATCAGTGACTACCTCATCCATCAGCTTCAACTTATTCAAAATGCTGCTGCTATAGCAATAGTAGGACTATATAAACATGATCATTTAGGAGATACTCTGAATGACCTTCATTGGATGCCTATCAGTTACAGAATTCAGTACAAATTATTACTTCTTGTTTATAAATGTCTAAATGGCATGGGACCAGATTATTTAAGTACAATGTTTAAATTTGCAAACTATAATCATCTTATCTATTTGACTGAACCTAGAGTGCATACACAATATGGAGAAAGATCTTTTCAGAAAGTTGGCCCTAAATTATGGAATGAACTCCCATCTGAGATTAAGAATTGGGGGGGGGGGGGGGGGGGGGGGTAATGACTACTTTTGGGGACTTGGGGAATTACGTCAACGATTTTACCCCGAGTCCCCATGATTTTTAGTCCCCATTAGTCCCCAAAAGTCTCCATAAGTCCCCATTTAGATGATTTTTAGTCTCCATTAGTCCCCAAAAGTTTCCATTAGTCCCCATTTAGATTTATCCTACTCTTATCTTGGACAAAACATCTCGATCGTATCGTTATTAAACTAACTTGAAAACCATAAATAACTGTCAAAAATTCTGGGGACTTATGGGGACAAATGGTGAATTACGTCAACGAGTTGACCTCTAGTCCCCACGATTTTTAGTCCCCATTAGTCCCCAAAAGTCTCCATTGGTAGTCATTACCCCCCCCCCCCCAGAATTGTACAACATTGGACTCTTTTAAAGTGTATCTGAAAACATTTCTTTTCAAACGTGCTCATAATGCTCATATGCTTACTGATTTTCAAAGCAGTCAATGGTGTTGCTCCTGCATATCTGTGTGATCTAGTAACATTTGTTAGTTCGAGTAGCAGAAGAACTTCCTCCTTACACCTACCCGTCGGATCTACAAGATCGCACCCAAGAGCGTTTCAGACTGTTGCTCCGAAATTCTGGAACCAACTACCAATTGAAATTAAGACTTGTTCCGATGTTGATCTGTTCAAAACATTATTAAAAACGCACCTGTTTAAGAAAAGTTATGGCATGAGCGATTAATTGACAATATAACTTTATGTTATTTGCTTAAACTGTTTAGGATGCAACCTAATGTCATGATCTTTTTGAACTTATTAGCAATTAGACTGTTAGCACGCTTCAAAAGCATGTCATCTTCGTTCCAAAACTTTTTATGTCCTATGCATACACTCCTTGATAGTTATCTTGATCTAGTATCTTTGTTTCACGCAATAGAGCATAAGTTTTGTGGTTTATCCACTGGGCTTAGAGTTTGTGTTTAAGCTACCAAATTTTATTATTATTATTATTATAATATTGTATCTTAATATTTTTCAATCCTAGTTTTCCCTATTTGTTTCTACTGGAAAATGCATACACATTATCGTTTATTTAGTGAATCAAGTCTAATCACCCTTATCTGGTTTAGAATATAAATGTGGGTTGCTTTTTCAGGTTTTATTGTATCCTGAACTGTTTTCGCGGCACACCTGTGCATTTTAAGTTGTTGTGCCACTATAATATAAAAGTTTAAATTATTATTATTATTATTATTTTTCAACTATAGTACAGTATTACTGATGAAGTATCCTTAAATGATTCTTGATCTTTGGGCAGACCCTCCACATTTAACCTACGATCATGTTTCCGATCATTCGGCTGAGTCGACTGAGGAGACATTATGAAGATGATTAATTTCGCATCTGGATCTAATAGATCCTTAGCTACTCCCTAGATTAGGTGACAGTTATCTCTGATACATGCAATGATGGGTGTGGACTGTGGGTCCCCTTTTTTATTTATAGTTATAATATGGTATGGTGGGATATGGCAATTTATAAATTGATTTGCTGATTTTCTGACAAAAGTTGCATGCTTGATAGCATATATCTTTAAAAGAAAGATATGATTTTTAAGGATATTTCTAATGATTCACATTTTTGGAATGTTTCAAATGAAGTATTAGGGAGAATTGGAGGACCTAGCTATGTTAGTAATAAAGAGAAGCATAACGATTATCTTTATTTCCACCCTTTTGTGGCAAAAAAGCGATTTATAAATCTTTATTACACTGGGAAGTATGAATAGGGTTATCTTATGGGGATGCTTTTTGAATTTATTTGAAATATTTTTAATAAAGTTGTAGTTAATAATTTATTAATTTTGGTGGTAAGATATTTATATTTTTCCATACAGTATAGTGATTTGATACTTTGTAGACATGTGTGATGATGTTATGTCATAATTTTTACTTTACTTTATACTTTATAACTTTGGTGTGAATGAAAATGTTGATCCCCTAATGTCCCCTAATTTAAATCACTTTTTTAATCGCTTAGCCAATTGAGTTTAATCTTTTTCTTTAATTTTAAATAATTGACTAGTCTTATGTTCCTAAATGATCAATTTTACAGGCGAAGGGACATCAAAAGCATGGCTGAAATAGTGCTATCAGGAGCACCGATTGATTTGGATATCAACAAAAGTGGTGATCTTGCAGTTCTCACAGAGTCAAAAGTGTTTATTGTCAGTTTATCAAGAAGTAAAGACTCTGACCTTTTGAGTAATATCTGCTTGCCAGTCAATGACTTGTTCCCTCTTTACTCCAAGGTGGACTTGCCTTTTATGGTTGGAAAAAGAGTCTGGTGGCTTCCCTCAACCAATAAGTATGATAGAGTCCTGCTCTTGACGGCAAGTTTGCAATGGTTAATTTACCGCAGGATTATTGGTTCATTGCAGTGGAGTCAATCAAATAAATTTTCTCCTGAGCTTGACAAATATTTCAAGCATCTAAAAGGGTTGAAATTCAACAAATTTGTTGACATGCTCATGATTCATTCTACATCTAAAGCAAAAAGTATTGAGGTTAAAGAATTCCAAAGAAATTCTGCTGTTAAACAGACTTTGGTAAAGGGACAATTTGTGATAGATCATGATACAATGCCCCAACAATATCATCTTGGTCTACAAGTTTTACAAAGGAGAAAACAGAAGAAGAAGAAAAAGAATAAAATCAGAGTAAAAAAGGAAGTAATAACTCCAGCACATTTTGTTAGTGAAGAAGAACTTGAAAAAGATAAGGAAGAAGATGAAGAAGAAGAAAAACCAGTCATCAAACAGATCGTCAAAACCGCTTCATCTGGTGAGAAAAGGCTCATAACTTACATAATGGATGGTAAACAAAAAGGAGACCAGGTGGAAAACAATGACTGCGAGGAGAAAGTCCAATGTGTTTGTGGTGCTACTGAAGAAAACAGTTCCGAGGATGAAGAGTGGGTTGAATGTGAACTTTGTCACACTTGGCTGCATGTTGATTGTGTCGCTTACTTTCCTGAGGTACAAGACTATTACCATTGTGATGACTGCTTAAAAGCCGATGCAAAGAAGGCTGCTCAATCTAAAAAGAAGTTGTCTAAAAAGGGAAAGAGAAAAGGGAGGCCACCAAATGAAAGGATAAACAATTCAACAATCATAACATCCCTGCCAAAACTCAATGGCTCTTTTAATAAACAGCTTTCAGAGCACAGATCAGACGACGTCAATGAAGCTAGCATAGATAAAACTTCTATCCCTGCATCTGATCTGACAAAATCTTTGAATAAATGCTGGTCTTCAGAGCAGATAACTGAAAAATTGGATAAAGTTAACGTTGATAAAAGTCCTATCCTGGCATCAGATCTAAATAAATCTCAGGATAAACAGACTTCAAAACAACGATCTGACAAAGGTAGTAAAGCTGACAAAGATAAAATTCCTATCTCAGTAACAGATCTTAGTAAATCTCTGAATAAACAGACTTCAGAGCAGAGATCCAACAAAGATACAACTCAAATTGATGCAATAATGGAAGGGGAGTGTTCATCAAAAGACAATTCCAAACGTGTTGAAGAGGTTGTATCATCTGACTTGGACAGTGACTCCAGTTGTGGAATGATACACCACGGAAATCACATCAACTGTCCCTGTGGCGTGGAATCAAGTGAATCAGGAGAGGAATGGGTTCAGTGTGATCAATGTGACAAGTGGCAACACCAAATATGTGTTAATTATGCAGATGAAGATAAGACTCATTATCAGTGTCCTTCGTGCAAGCAGATCCTCACTTTCTTTGCTAACAAGAAGTTTGCACCCATAAATGCAGATTCTCTTGCTGCTAAAAAAGTTGCTCCTTCTGCAGCTAAAGAAAAGTTCAGGATACCTAAAAAATCGAAAGATAAAGATGAGGGGTTCAAAGTTGTCGGCAGCTCAAGTTGCAATCCATCAACCTTTCTTGCACAGGTTCAACCAGTTTATCTTCCTAAATCTCTAGATGAAGCTGCTCTCATTGGTGTACTGAAGTCAACAATTGGTCAGACCAAGAATAGATCTCAGTCTTCACAGGGTACAGTTCAATCATCAACTTCTCGCTCTGGCTCTGGAGACCAAAACATGTCGTCTAACAATCTATCAGGAAAAGACAATAGCAATAATAAGTTAACTGATGGAAACAGTCTTTCAATAACTGAACCCAATTCAGATGAAGTCAAAAACGGCAATCAAATCAATTCTTTTGCTTTAGTACTTTGCACGGATCGTCTCATAATTTTAAGGGGTTCTCCCAAATCCCCCTTCCAGATTTCCTCCCTTTATACATTCGATGATAGAGAAATGTCCATGATGTCAGCTTTCAGCAATGCAGAAAACACACAACATAACATTGCAATGGTCGATTATAACTCTTGTAATGTCTTAATTTGGAAGCTTTGTTACTGTAATGATGATGATGCAGACAAATACAGTAATAGTGTAGTGAGTCTACCTTCACTTGTGTTGACTGCAGAGACTGTTTTAACAGTTGGGGACGATAACATTGATAGGATGATGTGGCTAAATCAGTTTCAAATCTTAATCTTCCAGATGGGGAATGTAATCTGTTACGATGTCGGCACATTGCAGTCTATTTGGGTTACAGTGGTTAAGTTTGTTTTCGTTACTGAATGGTTCCTCCAATCTGATAAAAAGTTAGTTGTGTTTGATAACAGCGGGTCAAATATAGTAATAGATACTGACAATGGTAATGTTTTACACCGGAATGTAACCAATCAGAAAGACGATCTGGTTGTAAATTCACGAATTTCACCATCAAACCTGCTGAAATATGAAATGAGAATACCATCTAACCAACTCCTTCAGTACTCCACGCCCTGCAAACTGCTTGTTTCACGCAATGAACATTTCACACAGACTCAAACTAACGATTGTTTGAGCAGAGAGCAGAACTTTCTAAAGATGAGCTTCCAATCACCTGAGCAGACTGAGAGTCTAGATATCACTAAAATACCGGAGGGGCTGTCGTGCACGATATGTGATTGTGCAAATTTGACTCCATCTGACCATCCGTTCGGAGTTGTGTGCTCCAAAAAGCACACTCTTTTTATGGATCCTAACAGTAAGGTTATACTTGACCCGTTTACTGCTAAGGAGTGTGTTAATTGCAGTGTTTTCAATCATGAAACAGTGGTTAAGTGCGGGTCTTGCAAACAGACTTGTTGACCGCACAAAGTATTTTAATTGCTTTATTTTGTTTTAGAAAGAATGTTGTTTAATTGTTCCAGATTATGATAACCCATTCATGAATAGTGGAATGTTATTTAATGATTGATACCTGATAACTGATAAGGCTCAATATATTCACCGATTAAAACTACATTTTAAGTTTATGTTTAGCTCTGATGTATAACTTTGACTTTCAGAAATTTTAAAAGAACTCACGTTTTATCTTTTAATACGAATTAACTTATTTTACGATTATTTATTAAGCACTGTATACTTTTGCTTGCACTTCTAAGCTAAATCTATTTCAAATCAATTGCGAGTTTCATTCTTAACATCTTATCACACGGAAATCTAACATTATTAAAATCAGTTGCAACAAATAATAATTTCAATCAAAGCCACAATTAAAGTGGCCATAAATGTTTCCACTTTCCATCTTGTAACTGTAAAGAATCAGTTATTATTATTCCAACTTAATGATTAATTTTACAAAATTACCGACATAATCATTCATAATCACCCACATAATTATCCACATAATATGTCCAGGATGGTGTTAGCTCCCCAACTGTCAGTTTACAGTAACGCTAGTGACCACGACAGTCTAGTAGATGTTGATGTTTTGCTGCCCATTCCTAAGGGAATCATGATTTCTGTTAAGGTCAATGCTGACTGCACTTTCGCTGATATTAAGGTAAGTTAAGGGTGATTGGAAGATTAGGGAGGGGGGGGGGGGGGGGGGGGTGCAGCCATTAAAGATTGGGGTATGTTGATTAGCCGGGTTACAATTTTAGAGGTTTTTCTTTATCTTTAGCTTCCTGCTTTTAAGATATAGCTGACTATTTCAAACGGGAACCATGAATCCTGATTAGTGTTATTGCTATTCATTTTTGGTCATATTCAAAATATTTGTAAAGTTCATAATATTACCTAGCACAGTAAAATCCTGATTTACTGCAGCTGTTTCCTTTCCCCAAACTCTGTGGCCTGTGGGTCATACTTTCTTTATATTTCAGGACAAAGTGTGGCAGAAGATAGCCAACATGATGGACCTGGGACCTAAAGAACGGTTCTCGTTTGAAGGTGAGTTTTATTTGCCACAACAATTAGTCATTAGTTGTGAAATTGACGAAACAATATTTAAAAAAAGGTATTAACTTCGTGATGTTTCACAGCCCAAAATTTTATCATAAAATTGTGAGTATTTATGCACTCACTTATTCTGTCTCACTTATTTGTTTAGTGTGTGAAAGTGAGGAAAAGTGAGGGAAAGTGAGGGAAAGTGAGGGAAAGTGAGAAACTCCGCATCTTGAAAGCTCAGCTGATCGAGTATTTTGATCTTCTGCCAAACTTTCGTTAAATGTGAGTCATGTATATGGCATGTGACGAGTGAATAATAGAGAAAAAAATAAAACAAGATTATTTCAGTGTTTTTAAAACTGTTAAAATCATGTCATGCTTCTTATATCGTGTTTTTATTGATGAATTTCTGTTAAAACCATTATTATCTTAACATCTCAAAGACTTTCAGGCATGAGTGGAAATCAAAAATATTTTTAATACTGGTCATCAGTTACAAAAATTATCACATTTTCATCAGCAGGGCCCTGCTAAAGCTGAAACAGTGTAGCCATCAAGCATCAGATTTAGGTGCTTACTGTTACATAAAGATTAGTTTCCTCTACTAATAATGAAATAAAGAAATAATTTACTTGAAACATTTTAGTAAGTTCATAAATTGGTCATTGAAGAAAAATTCAGTCAAAACAGTGAAATTTGGGCCGCGGAAAGCTGAAATCTGAAAATGTCATACCAGACATTTTCATAAATTTCCTTTCATCAAAGTTTTCTCCAGATATACTGGTTCTCCCTTGATGGCGACTTTTTTCACTCTCACCAACCTCACTGATTGGTCACTGGTCAAAAATTCAGTCAAAAATAATGCGCAAAATTGTGTGGAAAGTTGTATGTTGATTCTGTCACCCAGCTTTTTAATCGATCAATCAATTGATCATCCCATTAATTAACCAATTAATTAACCAATTAAAATACAGGTATTAACGAGAGTGCGATGATCGAGAGATTTGAGGATGACAAAATGACACTTCGTGACAGTAAACTATTTACCTACCTCCTAAAGCTGGTGGAGATGAGGATTGTTGATGTGGATAAGGTCAGTTCGTTCATTGTGTAAATCTTTGTGGAAGTTTCATCTGCCTTTTATCATGAAAATAGATTTCAAGATGATTTTAAGAGTTTATTTTCTAGAGGCATCCAGTGAGAAGCAGAATATTAGGTCAAATTATTTTTAAAGAGAAAATCTTTAAATCAGTTACAAAATTCAGCGACTTATAAACCATGATCCGGGACCTCTTCCACGAAACTTGTACTTAACTTTCATGGTACATAACAATCATGTTTTGCAGAAGTTCCTAGCCAACCTGTCCATGCTGGCCGGAAGAAATGTCATAATGGAGGTTTCCAAGTTTCCTTCTTTGGAAGTGGAGGAATTTCATGATCTGATGGAGGAAACAGCCCTCAACTACAACAAGGTATTATTAAATATACTCCTTATATGGGCATCACGTGTAGTATACATATTACCTCCTTATATGGGCATCACGTGTAGTTTACAGACACTGTGTTAGCTTCCAAGTGTGAGGTGTGTTATTGTGTGGTAGTCACATAGATTATTTTATCATGATAAGTCAATAATTACTGTATGTATACTGTATAAATATAAAGAACTGACGATTGCTTTAGATTAATGAAACTTGAGGTTGAACTTATCATTTGAACTTTCTTTCATTTGTTCTTTACTTTGCTCCTTGATCTCAAGTAGAGCACTGTAGTGCCGATAAAAGAAATAACACCATTATTGTTAGTATGAATATATATTAACTGAATAATTATATTATAAGTAATAAAATAATCACTTTATTGTTCATCATCAGTTACGTGCCACACACGACTACAGGACGTTACTAAAGATAAAATACCCACTACGACTCATGAAGATAGAAGGAACTATTCTAGAACACGAGCAACTGTACAATACCATGCAGTACACGCTGTATATTGACTCTTCTTATCGGCTTATTCCTAATTCTACTTCCGGGAATTGGGAGAAAGTTGAAAACTTTATGGGTGAGATAATGTTTCACTTTCTGTTTCACTTTTTGTTTCACTTTCTGTTTCACTTTTGTTTTTGTTTCTATTCCAGTATTCATGTTTCTGCTTGTGAATTTGTCCTTGTAAACGAGCTAAAAGCATGGTTTGAAGTGGATAACGGCGAATACCCTGAACCATTATCAATTTATATTTCATTTTCACACCAATCAAAATGTTACATATTTAATAGTTAATTACTTAACAAACTTGTTAACAGAACACGATCCCCAGTGCCATTCCGTGCCTCAGTACAACTTCTACTAGACGTTCTTGTAGAGGTTGAGAAATTGGTTCCCAGTAACAACTACCTGCTCAAGATATCTGGATGTGAGGATTATCTTTTTGAGGATAAACTGATTCTACCTGAGTACAAGGTTCGTTATTATTATATTTAGAAGATCAAATTAACTCATCAATGTTCTTTTCAAGAGGATATTGTTTTTACTTCATAGAAATTGTACAGTCTGCTATATTAGTCGAGAATGCATCTGTGAATTATTTGTGACTGAGCAATACATTCCAGTACATACAAGATTGTATTCGAGATAACAGAATACCAGATCTTATCCTTACTACCTACGAAGAGTTGATAAAATCAAACCAAATCACCATGAAACCAAGCAACACCTCTAGAGAAACATTCAAACAACACGAGATATTCCCCATGTCACCTTTACACTTCGAGGGTGAGTAGAATGAGTAAAATTATTAACCTTTATCGAACTGTTTTCCGAACATCTAACTTTTGTTTTGGCGCAATGGGGCATTTTTGTTTGTATCGACTTCCTCACCTATTTACGTAGCGCGCTTGGTCAGAGAGTTGACTTAACGGCGCGCACGTGATTATCTTTTTTATGGAAGACAGCTAGCTAGTATAAGCTATACTAGTGCGCTGCATGCACGCAATTGTGCATGGAAATTATATTATGGCATATTCCAGTAGCCGGTAGATGAATCCATAAATTTGGAAACAAATTTAAAATCATGATTTTTGGTGCTTCTTTGATGTCAAAGTTCAAACTTCTATTAAAATTCTCTGGACCAATATGGTCTTACCAAATACTGGTTGACAAATACTGGATGAGGGTTTGAACTTTGATAAGGGTGTAACGAGTCTGACAAGCTTGCCGTATATGTACAGATCACGTGACATAAAACTAAAAATGAAGAAACTTTTTTCTTAATCGGGGTTTGACTGTAGTCATAAATTAGTCTCAAAATGAAATTATAGAGATGATACAAAATATAAGAACTCTTCGATTATCAATTCTTATACTGTTATATACCATTTTTACTGTCAGTAATAGGAATTAGGAAATGGGAAGTTTGGATCGCTAAAGTTACTATAATCAAGGAACATAAAATCAAACTTATAAATTTCATAAAATTGATCTACTAGTCCTTTATCCAACGTAGAAAATAATTCCCTTGCTTTAACTACAGATTCCTGTAATCTCGGATCACTTTGTCCGTCATAAGATCCTGGCAAAGTAAAATCTATTCCAACTTCATTAAAAAAATCAGTCGACATTTCTTCTGCAAATTCCATTGGTATGATGTAGTCATACCGGACTTTGGTCACCGTCAAAAACATGTGCTGAGGTCTGAAGTGAAGATCATCGATCATCGAATGCTTGTTTTCTACCGTGTGCCTAACATACTCCTCAAAAGTTGGAGTATATACCCCGATTTGTATCATGTACTTTAGCTTTTCTATAGGAATGTGAGACACATTCCGCTCGGATTGAATGATCTCAAACCGAAGGTCCGGCAAAGTATACCCATGTTTTATCTGGACACATTGTAAGCCACATAGTTTCTGTCTGTATGCAGAGACAGCTCTAACCCAAGGGTTCCTCAATGCCACAATACTGGTAGCTGTTTTGATCCTGTCGTCGTATTTCCCGTTCCATGTTTTAGCGAAATTTGGGAGTTTGTAGGGTGAGATATCGGAATGTACATCGGAAAGATACTTAAGTCTACCTTGCAGCACGCCCTCTGCTTGTAGGAAGAGTTCTTTCCAGTGCGAACATCCTGTTTTAGGTATTCCCGTAAACACTATGTTCATCTTCGGGAAATAATACGTTGCGTAGGATGAGGCATGCTTTCAGTGCAAATCGGATGGCGACTGGTAATTTTTAATCAATTCCCCATATATACTGTCAGTTTGTTCTTTTATCCACTTTTGAGATGGGATCTTGTAATCGACCTTTGATGAAACTGCTCTTAAATTGAGCTTCAAGTTTGTCTTTACGATGTTTTGGTAAATTTCCAATAAGGAGAAGCAAAGAGCAATCAAAATGAAAACTGATTTGTAGAATTTTAACGATATCATCAATAAACGGGGAATTTAACGGCAACAAACGGTTTAACGCGTGCGTTTTCGTACTGGTCCACAATAATATTAATAAAGCCACAGCAACATTTGTAATGATAGTCGTACAAACTTCCATTGGTAGGGATCTGGAGATGTAATTATAGTGTCTGTTTATCTTGGTATGTCAGTGTTCATTAGATTATTCAGAAGATTGGTGTATCGGAAGGCATTCGCCCAATCGCAGTGAGGGGGTATCAATTTCAATTGTGATCAACCCGTTTATGCTTCGATCGACAAGAAGGTAACAATTTGAAACCGGGGAAAGACCCTTTTTTAACAGCTTGTGAAAAAGTTGCTGCTATGGGGGGGGGGGGGGGGGGGGGGAATCTGGCAATGTGAAGTGACAATTGTAACAATTTTGGACCAGTGGGCGAAGTTTTAATGTAAATTTTGCATGATAATCATCTTCTGATTGTCATGTCATCGTTTACTGCAAAACTAAAATTCAAAAGTTTTTCACTGTGATGATGATTGATTAATGAGATCTCACGAAATCATGAAAATTTCGTGCGAAAAACTTTTATACCATATATTTCGGTTCTCATATTGAAGCTTATTAAAATTTGGAATTTACAGTCGACCGCTTGAAGCTGACATATCTCTACAGAGCAAGTAGCAACCTGAAAAAGAGATGTTAACCGCCAAAAAATAAGCTAATCCGAAACTGTGGAATAACAATAAATGGGGCCCATTTCTCTTTGGTGTTATTTTCATACTATTTTCGGTTTGAGCGTGTAGTTTGGGGTGAAACAGCTAATAAAAAAGACGACAAAATAGTGCCTCTATTATGTTAGTCAAAAATTATTTATTTTAGTCAAAAATTACCAATAATACGATGGGTCCCCTGAATTTTAAAATACAAACTTGAATAATTATCATGATTAAAAAAATAAAATATGCTCGACCATTAATTAAATCGACCATTAATTAAATAAAAAATATTGGAAAGCAAAATTTAACAATCATCATATCAAATCTAAAATATTGAAACATCACCATTTACTATAAAGACGACGTTTTATCACTATCTGACTGTGGTTCATTCGTTCTTATCACATTACTTATTATTAGTGTATCGGAATACACAGCTGTCCTCTTATTTAGCACATCTATCTCTGTATTATTACTATCTCTTTCACTTTCACTATCTCTTTCTCTTTCACTATCTCTGTCCCTTTCTGTTTCTGTTTTAACACCTTCACTGTTTATTTCTCCTCCTCTAAAAACTCCAGCCTCCAGTTCTATGACCTCCCCCTCGACCTGGACTGGTTCTGGTGTCTTGTTGTTCAGTTTAAAGAGTAACAGTGCTAATAGTGCGAAAATCAGGAGGAGGAGAAGTGCGCCAAATACTTGAGACAGCGCCAGTATAAGTCCTGAAATAAATTAATTTTATTAGAGATTTAATGCGAAAAAACTGTTTCTCCTGAAAGTTACCAACGTCCTTAATGAAGAATCTCATCAAGTTACTTTGAGATTGTATCGATATAGACTGGACTTTATGCGCAGTTCTCTGTTTCTACCGTGATGTTTAAAAAGATTTTCTGTGAAAACACTACCTTTGTTTTTGTCGTTAGGAATCGCTGTTCTAGGTTCGCCCGTCCCACCACCGTCTCCATCACCTTCTGTATCATCATCATCAACTTCCGTTCTTACATTGCGTAACGTTGTGGTACTATAAGTAAATACAGTAGTCCCCCTCGTCTCATCACCACTTCTAGAACTATCACGTGACTGTGAACTTGATGCCGTACTCCCGGAGTACCAGATAGGTACTGGAGCTGAAGTGGTCGAGGATCCTGGGTCTGTCACGGTATGCTTAGTTTGGGTACCGGACCTTGAGTCTGTGTTCACTGCTGTACCAGTTACCCGGGGTTGAGGTGTAGTTATCTCTGGTTGAGGGGTTGTGTTTTCTGGTTGAGTGTTTCCTGGTTGAGTGTGCTCTGGTTGAGAGGTGGAGGATCCACAGCGTCCTACGCAGGTGGCTTGAGTTGTATCTGTGGAGTGTATCTCTGTTGTTACCTTTTCCGGGGTAACAGCTTCAGGTTCTGTGGTGTTGCGTTTTTTAGTGTGAGACTTTGTGGTGTTATGCTGTAAAGTGCGAGGTTTGGTTGTATTACCACCGGAGGTTGCTGGTGGATGTTCTGTTGTATTACCACCGGAGGTTGCTGGTGGATGTTCTGTTGTATTACCACCGGAGGTTGCTGGTGGATGTTCTGTTGTATTACCACCGGAGGTTGCTGGTGGATGTTCTGTTGTATTACCACCGGAGGTTGCTGGTGGATGTTCTGTTGTATTACCACCGGAGGTTGCTGGTTGATGTTCTGTTGTATTACCACCGGAGGTTGCTGGTGGATGTTCTGTTGTATTACCACCGGAGGTTGCTGGTGGATGTTCTGTTGTATTACCACCGGAGGTTGCTGGTGGATGTTCTGTTGTATTACCACCGGAGGTTGCTGGTGGATGTTCTGTTGTATTACCACCGGAGGTTGCTGGTGGATGTTCTGTTGTATTACCACCGGAGGTTGCTGGTGGATGTTCTGTTGTATTACCACCGGAGGTTGCTGGTTGATGTTCTGTTGTATTACCACCGGAGGTTGCTGGTGGATGTTCTGTTGTATTACCACCGGAGGTTGCTGGTTGATGTTCTGTTGTATTACCACCGGAGGTTGCTGGTGGATGTTCTGTTGTATTACCACCGGAGGTTGCTGGTGGATGTTCTGTTGTATTACCACCGGAGGTTGCTGGTGGATGTTCTGTTGTATTACCACCGGAGGTTGCTGGTGGATGTTCTGTTGTATTACCACCGGAGGTTGCTGGTGGATGTTCTGTTGTATTACCACCGGAGGTTGCTGGTGGATGTTCTGTTGTATTACCACCGGAGGTTGCTGGTTGATGTTCTGTTGTATTACCACCGGAGGTTGCTGGTGGATGTTCTGTTGTATTACCACCGGAGGTTGCTGGTTGATGTTCTGTTGTATTACCACCGGAGGTTGCTGGTGGATGTTCTGTTGTATTACCACCGGAGGTTGCTGGTGGATGTTCTGGGAGGTTGTCCAACAGTTGGCGTGGTAGCAAAAGGGTAGCTGTCGGTGATGTTACCCGTACACAACACTACCGCAGAGAACATCAGCAACAAAACGTACATCTTGAGGAGTGGAAATGATTATTTTCTGTCTGTGTAAAAATCTACTCAACCTCCTGATTGCTTTAGTTGGAGATGGGTGAAATACGACCCATGGTATGATGCTGTGGTGATGTGATGGGGACGTTACGATGTAGTGTTGAGTGATCTCTGTGACGTCATTGTGGTTAGCTGGAGGAAGCTAACACTACCATTTCTGGGCTTAGAACTGTTCATGTTTGCAATCTCGTGCATATTTCTTTTTGTCACCCGTCGCGTTGTCATGACTTATTTTTCTACTCAAAGCACTGATTTAAAATTTATTGATAAGATTTATTTGGTACATTACCAAATCACCTTTGGGGCGTCGGAAATGACATATTGTCCTAAGGTGTGATGCAATGAAAATGTAGGAAAACAATAGAGTAATAGATAAAATGAACAGAAATTTAGCGAAAATATGGATATATTGAGAAACATTCAAACACCGATTTACCTCGGTTTAAAGTAATGTGCAAACATTATTTACTGGAACTTTCTTAACTGAGCTTGATATTAAATATTTACTGAGCTAACTGTATATTTAACGTATCGGTATAGATTATAGATACCTGTTATCTTAAAGTATAGAAACCAAAATCCTATAATCCGAAAATTTATCCAAATTTGAGATTCCTGAAGAGCCCGGCTACAATAGTATCACACCATAAAATAAACGTTAAAATCAAGCTGCTAGTTTCGTATGCACTATTGTCAAGCTAGGCATTGAAATTAAAATGCACGTGCAACCAACGAGTATCAAATAAAACACAATAGAATAATAATTATTGATATTCTGAATATCCATCACTTGTCAAACTACCAATCATTAACTCAAACCAACAGTAAAATAACAAAACTCAACACAAACACCCTCCAGTTAGAAAGTTGCTTAATAAATAACCAAACCACGTGCAAGTTTCGACCAATCTCCACTTTAAAGATAAGAATCGGCTCCCAAAACAAAAACCAATCTAGAGAAACCCTCTCCAATGACCGATGACGTTATACACCAGATATTTGACGGGCTTATGTTTCAGGAAACCAGGGAGACAAGTACTCGAGCGAGATCAAGGAGAAGTTTAGTGTCTGTGTCCGATCACTGTCTGATCTAAACCTTGATCGGAGCCATCTGGTAAGTAGACCCGCTAATTAGTTAATTAGTTAATTAATCAAATTGTTTTGTACTCAGATGACGAAGTTGCTGTAAGGTGGCATTGGATCGAACAAATCGTTGCGTAGCCGTATCTAGGGTTGTTAATTAAACAATTTTATTCCATTAAATGGACGTTTTGGCTTGGTGAGACCCGGGAAAAGTCACACACGATTCAACTAGACGCCACCTGATCACCTCACTCGATTGTTCGTAGGGTTTAATCTCATTATATTTTTGTGGTCATATTGAAATATTCTAAACTCTCGTGTATTTCTAATATTATTGAGTTAATATTATTAAGTTCAGTTGGAACGGTGTGATCAGTGATGTCATGAAAGGATTGTTGAGGGTATTTTATGAACTATGAAGATACTAGGAAGCCCATGGACACAAAGAGAAAGCTAACCTATGTGACCTATGTTGAGTTTCGTCAAAACTTGACGGGGCCATCACATCTTTTGACCACCCCATAGCGAAGTAAAGTCTCGCTCGTTGCGCCAGCATAGCAGAGAATTTGTATTTGGAGCAGTATATTCCTGATCGAAGGCTTATCAGAGACTAGGGAGAGACAACATGAATTTTGTGAGTCTATCTTTGAAAGTTTGAAGTGCTCCAGATCTTGAATGACATTCAAATAGTAGGGGATTGCATTCCACAATTTAGGTCCCTGAACTGCAAATGAGTTGTCAAACAAGGTGAGGTTTGCTGTTGAACTGGTTCTTTTGATGGAATTACTGCAAGGTTTCCAAACCTTGGGTGTAAAACAAATAGAACGTTCAGATCATTGCTGGTCTTTCCGTGGAGGATTTTCCACATATGGAGAATGATGAATCGCTCCCGCCTTCGTTGAAGAGACATCAGAGATAGATAGACCAGGCGATCCCAGAGTGGAGATCGCGCATTCCTGATATTCTGGCGGTGAATGCTTTCTGTACACTCTCCAGTTCTTGGATATCGCTGATTTTTGAGGGATGCCATAATGGACAGCAATATTCAATCAGACTTCGAACCATTGATTTGTATAGCGTCAGCATGATGGAGTGAGATCGTGTGTGAAATACACTGAGAACCCATGATGACTGAGAAGTATTCTGTGATTATCAGTTTTTATCGCATCAAAAAATGGGGGGGGGGGGGGGGGGGGGGGGGGGCAACCATATTAAAGTATATCCCCGGGTCAAAATCGGAAAAAAACCTACATTTAATAATATACTTTAATATACCTACAATTAATAGATTAGAAGATAAGCCAGTTGCTAGTCCCCTGAACTCATACTTCATATATTTTGGCTCATAAATTGGTCAAGTATCAATATCTTTGAACTAAACTAACTTTACATGAAAGGTAAATCTAATCTATACATTAAATAAAACAAAATTGTTCGCATATTTTTTTATAATGTAGGTATATTAAAGTATATTAAAGTATATGCCCCCCCCCCCCCCCCCCCAAATATCCAAACCTACCGAAGAAACAGCCGCTTATTGATATGTAAAAAACTCCTCACAACGTAATCACAAAAAAAAACATATCATAATGTCGCCCTAAGGGGTTTTAATAACATATTTTATTATATTACATGTACCTTACTATATCGTATTTTTAATCAAGTTATACCACAACAAGGATTTAAATCTTCCATTTTTGCGGGGATATTTACTTTTTGATGATATTTTTAGAAGGTAAAGGTAAAGGGAGGTAAATAATGGATCTCTAGAAGTATAATTATTATATATCTTTATATTTTCAGTTTCTAAGAGAAAAGATCATTACAAATAAGCTAGTTTTATTATTTTTATAAACATATTTTATGGTCAATATTTCAAGGTCCATATTTAATGGTTCACACTTTTAAAACTTGGGATGGACACACATTTTTTCAAGTAATTAAACGTTAATTATATCACAATATTTCCACTGTAGGGTGAATCGATCAGGAGGACTGAAAGAAAAGTGTCAGTGTTTCAGCAAGCATTTCATTGTGTAGTAAGGTGTAGCTGTTAACTCAGTAGAAAATAGTACCTGCATCACTGTGTACTATATATGTATAGTGTATTGTGTACTATATATGTATAGTGTAGTATGTACTATATGTATAGTGTACTGTATGATTCCTGTATGAGATACCATGAACACTACAAGATTAGCATACTCAATACTCGTATAATTCATTTGACTATGTATTAAATGTTCATTATTTTTGTTCATTGTAGTGTTGAGTTGAATTATGGACAGTTAAAATCCCGATTTACGTGCGTAGCGTAGATTCTCCTCAATTTAACGGGAAATTCCGTTTTAACACTCTCAATAAGTCTGGGGTTGACCAGATGTTATTATTATTGTACGTGTTTTGTTGTATCTGTTCTGAATTTTGGACTCGTTTAACCGATGCAACTTAACGCGAAGAAGCTTGAGAAGACGTTAATTTTTTTTCTGTGTATGTTTATGCAGTGGTAAAAGCGGGGTTCGAACACGTGACAGCGATTAACCAATGAGATTGTAACATAAGATCATTGCTTTATTGAACAAAACCTTTGTCACAGTTTTAATGTGAACTTCATTTACCACTTATCACTAATTCTAATGTGAATTTATTGAAGTCTACGATTAATCAATCTAATAATTCCATTTGTGCAGTTATTATGTTTAAACAAATTAAATAATTAATTAATTAATTAAGCTAATCAACTAATTTCCCAGGTGCGAGTGTACGTAGCGCTGTACAGTGGCAAGAACCGTCTTGAACAGCTCGTTACGTGTGAGAAACCCATAACTTCTGTTATTGAATGGAATGAAACACTTACTTTCAAGATAAATATTTCTGATCTGCCCAGGTAATAGATATTTTCAGGTAATAGATATAGGCATTCAAAATTTTAGGAAATTAAGATGTTTTAAGACATTGTAAAAAAGTATTCAATGTTCTGACTCATTTAAAAAAAACAAATAACAGTGTTGTTGACCCAACCGTATTTAAACTAACAAACCCAACGAACAGGAACGCAAAACTCTGTTTTTCAATACAAAAACGTCGTAAAACGGACGACACAAAAAAGAAGAACAAACAAAACGCAGCAGACGAGCAGATTATAGTACCCAGCAAGTCAGCTAACCTGTATTGGATTAACCTGACTGTGTTCGATTTTAAGGGCACTCTGAGGCAGGGTAAGTTGCTGGACGTAATGACGCGCACTGTTCACTTGTAAAACATGTGTTATTTTGTTACAACGCCGATTATTGTGAAGGAGTCGTTTACTTTAAGGGGAGATACACCAAAACCGTTTTTGCTCCGAACATCGATTTTATTTTATATTATTTTTAAATAGACAAAAAGAATAAGATTGTACACCTTCAAAAATTTTAAAAAATATTCCCTCCTCGAGAAAAAAAATATTTTTCTTTTTCGAAAATTTTTAAAATTTGGAGAAGTCTGTCACTGTAATACCGATAGTTCGGCCATTTAAAAAGTTTTTTGGCTGATTTTTTTACTGAACATTACTTACACTCCGTACTAGAAGCCATTGAAAGGATTATATAATTGAACAATAAATGACCAAGTTACAGACCGAACAAGGTGAAAAAAGAAAAATTGGGATTTTTGCCTATCACCAAAGTTGTACATTTCACCACCCGCCCAGGTCATCAGATATCGCTTCAAAAATTCTTGTGAGTGTAGTTAATGATCATGGCAAGCTTTTTGGAACCGGATTTCTCTCAATTTTGAGTTTTAAGCTATGCAATGTGGCCTCAAACGACTTAGTAAAATTCATCGTAAAAAAGGGCAAAAAAGGCAGATTTAAGGCTTAAAATGCCTATAACTCAAAAAGTATCAGTTTTTTTGAAATAATTTTTACAGGATCGTAATCAGCTTGGTAAGACGAATCTTTTAGTACCAAATAGGTGCTTTTAGAAGACAAATTGTCTTAAATAATTTTCTAGCTCGAACACAAGGGTCCCCCCTTGTATAAATTTTGTACAAATTATACACATTTTTTTACAAATTTTGTGGCTTTGAATATTATAAATGTCGTACTAAAAGATTCGTCTTACCAAGCTGATTACGATCCTGTAAAAATTATTTCAAAAAAACTGATACTTTTTGAGTTATAGGCATTTTAAGCCTTAAATCTGCCTTTTTTGCCCTTTTTTACGATGAATTTTGAAGTCGTTTGAGGCCACATTGCATAGCTTAAAACTCAAAATTGAGAGAAATCCGGTTCCAAAAAGCTTGCCATGATCATTAACTACACTCACAAGAATTTTTGAAGCGATATCTGATGACCTGGGCGGGTGGTGAAATGTACAACTTTGGTGATAGGCAAAGATCCCAATTTTTCTTTTTTCACCTTGTTCGGTCTGTAACTTGGTCATTTATTGTTCAATTATATAATCCTTTCAATGGCTTCTAGTACGGAGTGTAAGTAATGTTCAGTAAAAAAATCAGCCAAAAAACTTTTTAACTGGCCGAACTATCGGTATTACAGTGACAGACTTCTCCAAATTTTAAAAATTTTCGAAAAAGAAAAATATTTTTTTTCTCGATGAGGGAATATTTTTTTAAATTTTTGAAGGTGTACAATCTTATTCTTTTTGTCTATTTAAAAATAATATAAAATAAAATCGATGTTCGGAGCAAAAACGGTTTTGGTGTATCTCCCCTTAAGGGTACTCTAAGGCAATGTACGCTGTCTTGAGATTTAGATTGGTTTTCGATTCTATTTGAACTCGTGTTTATTCATATTTGATGCTTTTTGATAAATAGTCTGGTTGATTCCCCAACGTATTAATGCTCAGAACTTCGCTGTTTTTTGTAGCGACTTTTTTCCCTTGTGTCATAAGGGCACGTACATCCAATCAATTAGATAACCAATTAATCAACAACATGTTGTCAACCCCCTGCTGGCTGCTTTAGTAACAACGATCAGTTTCACTAGTTGAATATTATGTACATAACAATCACTTATATTTGTACTGACAAGACGTCATGAATCATTGTCATGGATTATTAGTTAAATATTACCCAAATTGTATAAAGTCACACAATACTTCCTTGTTTTAAACTAAGCACAATTCCGTTATTAATACCAAGGTTATAAAAAATTAAAAAATGTTTCCTTGTGTTTAACAAACCACTGACAGGAGCTATAGAACAACATGTTTGGACGGACCTGAGATCAGAGAGTGGATTCAACTACACCGGACCTAGCTTCCCATACGGGCTTTCTGACACACCCATATTTACAGTATGAGCCTTGTTTTCTGCTTTTAATTTTTATAAGGACAAATTCATATTCCTTCTCCCATTATTTCCACTTCCCTAGACCGAACATTCACTGTGTATGTTCTAACCACCACCCCTCTCCAGGTGGAACTACCAGAAAGCAAGTCCCCAGTAAGGTTCTACCCACTAACCACCACCCATCTCCAGGTGGAGCTACCAGAAAGCAAGTCCCCAGTAAGGTTCTACCCACTAACCACCACCCCTCTCCAGGTGGAGCTACCAGAAAGCAAGTCCCCAGTAAGGTTCTACCCACTAACCACCACCCCTCTCCAGGTGGAGCTACCAGAAAGCAAGTCCCCAGTAAGGTTCTACCCACTAACCACCACCCCTCTCCAGGTGGAGCTACCAGAAAGCAAGTCCCCAGTAAGGTTCTACCCACTAACCACCACCCCTCTCCAGGTGGAGCTACCAGAAAGCAAGTCCCCAGTAAGGTTCTACCCACTAACCACCACCCCTCTCCAGGTGGAGCTACCAGAAAGCAAGTCCCCAGTAAGGTTCTACCCACTAACCACCACCCCTCTCCAGGTGGAGCTACCAGAAAGCAAGTCCCCAGTAAGGTTCTACCCACTAACCACCACCCCTCTCCAGGTGGAGCTACCAGAAAGCAAGTCCCCAGTAAGGTTCTACCCACTAACCACCACCCCTCTCCAGGTGGAGCTACCAGAAAGCAAGTCCCCAGTAAGGTTCTACCCACTAACCACCACCCCTCTCCAGGTGGAGCTACCAGAAAGCAAGTCCCCAGTAAGGTTCTACCCACTAACCACCACCCCTCTCCAGGTGGAGCTACCAGAAAGCAAGTCCCCAGTAAGGTTCTACCCACTAACCACCACCCCTCTCCAGGTGGAGCTACCAGAAAGCAAGTCCCCAGTAAGGTTCTACCCACTAACCACCACCCCTCTCCAGGTGGAGCTACCAGAAAGCAAGTCCCCAGTAAGGTTCTACCACTAACCACCACCCCTCTCCAGGTGGAGCTACCAGAAAGCAAGTCCCCAGTAAGGTTCTACCCACTAACCACCACCCCTCTCCAGGTGGAGCTACCAGAAAGCAAGTCCCCAGTAAGGTTCTACCCACTAACCACCACCCCTCTCCAGGTGGAGCTACCAGAAAGCAAGTCCCAGTAAGGTTCTACCCACTAACCACCACCCCTCTCCAGGTGGAGCTACCAGAAAGCAAGTCCCCAGTAAGGTTCTACCCACTAACCACCACCCCTCTCCAGGTGTAGCTACCAGAAAGCAAGTCCCCAGTAAGGTTCTACCCACTAACCACCACCCCTCTCCAGGTGGAGCTACCAGAAAGCAAGTCCCCAGTAAGGTTCTACCCACTAACCACCACCCCTCTCCAGGTGGAACTACCAGAAAGCAAGTCCCCAGTAAGGTTCTACCCACTAACCACCACCCCTCTCCAGGTGGAACTACCAGAAAGCAAGTCCCCAGTAAGGTTCTACCCACTAACCACCACCCCTCTCCAGGTGGAGCTACCAGAAAGCAAGTCCCCAGTAAGGTTCTACCCACTAACCACCACCCCTCTCCAGGTGGAACTACCAGAAAGCAAGTCCCCAGTAAGGTTCTACCCACTAACCACCACCCCTCTCCAGGTGGAGCTACCAGAAAGCAAGTCCCCAGTAAGGTTCTACCCACTAACCACCACCCCTCTCCAGGTGGAGCTACCAGAAAGCAAGTCCCCAGTAAGGTTCTACCCACTAACCACCACCCCTCTCCAGGTGGAGCTACCAGAAAGCAAGTCCCCAGTAAGGTTCTACCCACTAACCACCACCCCTCTCCAGGTGGAACTACCAGAAAGCAAGTCCCCAGTAAGGTTCTACCCACTAACCACCACCCCTCTCCAGGTGGAGCTACCAGAAAGCAAGTCCCCAGTAAGGTTCTACCCACTAACCACCACCCCTCTCCAGGTGGAGCTACCAGAAAGCAAGTCCCCAGTAAGGTTCTACCCACTAACCACCACCCCTCTCCAGGTGGAGCTACCAGAAAGCAAGTCCCCAGTAAGGTTCTACCCACTAACCACCACCCCTCTCCAGGTGGAGCTACCAGAAAGCAAGTCCCCAGTAAGGTTCTACCCACTAACCACCACCCCTCTCCAGGTGGAGCTACCAGAAAGCAAGTCCCCAGTAAGGTTCTACCCACTAACCACCACCCCTCTCCAGGTGGAGCTACCAGAAAGCAAGTCCCCAGTAAGGTTCTACCCACTAACCACCACCCCTCTCCAGGTGGAGCTACCAGAAAGCAAGTCCCCAGTAAGGTTCTACCCACTAACCACCACCCCTCTCCAGGTGGAGCTACCAGAAAGCAAGTCCCCAGTAAGGTTCTACCCACTAACCACCACCCCTCTCCAGGTGGAACTACCAGAAAGCAAGTCCCCAGTAAGGTTCTACCCACTAACCACCACCCCTCTCCAGGTGGAGCTACCAGAAAGCAAGTCCCCAGTAAGGTTCTACCCACTAACCACCACCCCTCTCCAGGTGGAACTACCAGAAAGCAAGTCCCCAGTAAGGTTCTACCCACTAACCACCACCCCTCTCCAGGTGGAGCTACCAGAAAGCAAGTCCCCAGTAAGGTTCTACCCACTAACCACCACCCCTCTCCAGGTGGAGCTACCAGAAAGCAAGTCCCCAGTAAGGTTCTACCCACTAACCACCACCCCTCTCCAGGTGGAGCTACCAGAAAGCAAGTCCCCAGTAAGGTTCTACCTACTAACCACCACCCCTCTCCAGGTGGAGCTACCAGAAAGCAAGTCCCCAGTAAGGTTCTACCCACTCCTCACTGCCCGGAACTTGGCACTACAAGATACCGGACCTGGGTCACTGAGTCAGGCGGAACAGAGTGAGCTGACAGTCGCGGAGAGAAGGAAGTTGGAGACTCTACTGAACCACTCATTTGGGACTTATCAGGTTTGTAACTACAAGACATCACATGTTCACAACTACAGACAAGAGCCCGTCTTTTGTGTGCAAAAGCTTTCATGCTCGCCTATTTCTTGACCCTTTAGTTTTCTGTCTCTATCCAATTAGCAGTCAAGGAAAAAAGTCATGCACCAAATGGGCAATTGTTATTAATTTGTTAATTCTGTAAAATGTGCTAAGAATATTAAATTTCTTGTTTCACCGAAATTTTTTATTTCATTGGAATGTTCTATTGTAACCAGTCACTCTTATTTATATTAACATGATTAAATGATAGCCAAATATACAATGAAAATGTACAAGAAAAAGTCTTACTATTCAAAAAATCATCATTTGTACATAATTCTACATGCATCAGTTGACAAAATCATCGTTTAATCGATTCTTATCTATTCTTTGCAAAAAATAAATAAATAGCCATAATGGATAGCCTGAAAAATGAAATATAAAAACTTGAAAATTACAACTTAAATTTTAAAAAGACAACAGATATAAAATCCCAAAAAATAGGGCGGAACAGGTTAAAAAAACAGAAAGTCCATGCAACAAAATATACAGCAAGCCACTATGAGCTCTACATCAAGCTGATAAAATCGACGATAAAATATACATTGCAGTTGGTTATTCACTCACTCACACTGCATCATTATTAATCATAAACCACACCGTCCACCAATCACCAATCACCAATGGTCATAACCGGTTGGCGACTGATGAGGAGTATGATAAATTATTAACAATTCTGAGGTTCTCAGCTGTTCAAGTTTTAAGCAGTACAGCCATTTTGAAATAAGAGGAAGGGAAGCTTATTAATGAGGCACTGAGGTTACTACTTAGTACCTCAATAGCTACTTCATTAATAACTTAAAGTGCAATTTAAGTACCAACAGCGTTGCTTCAGCTAATATTCTCATTTAAACAAAGCCTACATTAAATTCTCTACTAATGACATAATTTCCTTGGAACCTTTATTCATAATAGTGATGGTTGTTTTAAAATACTGTTTTGCTTAACTTTAAAGAATATTAGCTTTATATATAGAACAGTTTCCGAATGCCAAAACTTAAAATAAAACTTACAGCATATTTTTTTAAACTACAGCTTCGTCTCGAACATAAACCCTAACTGGGACGTCAAGTTTGCTTGGCTTTCTTTGCTTTCCTCTTGATCAGCATCACCACCCTTTATATCCTGAACCTCAGCTTTTTTTGGTTCTTGGAGCTGATCGGCATCTTCACTGTTTTTCTCTTGACCCTCAAGTCCGTTTTCTTCTTGCCCAATGTTTTCTTCTTTGCCAGTGTTTTCATTGTTGCCCTTATCGTACTCATCATAGTCATCAGTATCTTGACTGTTTTCCTCTTGAACTTCTTCGGTTTTTTCACTGATTTTCTCTTGAGCTTCTTCTTGAATTTTACCATTTCCTTGCACCCTTATCACATCTTCGTTTTCATTACCATACTCAGCGTCCTTAAGATCTATTTTTATCTCATTATTTTTCTCTTGAACCTGATCTCCCTCTTCCGTCGATGTTGCCTTTTCAATTATCTTCGGACCGTTTTCAACATCTTCATAGATGACACCTTCATCTTCTTTTGGGTCAGTTGTGTAATTTTGAGCAGTAGTTGTGTAACAGTTTGACACAGCAGAAGAAGCCTGAGTAACACTTGCTTTACCTCCCTTCTTTTGCTCCACACCTAACAAAGCAAGGGTGTGACCCCAGACATCTTCTTGCAAAAGTGCCATGCCAATAAACAACAGAGGTCCCTGGAGGCCAGTCATCACAATAAAGAGATATTGCATGACCACAGCTCCCGGACCAACTGCCAGAGCTATTACAACCCACGGACACCCAACTGATACAGCTACCAACGCCATAGCCTTTGCAGTCTTCGCCAACTTTGGATCACCACCACCAGAGGTTGATGATTTCCAGATGACCCTGGCTATCATTACAAAAGACACGCAGTTAAAGAGAAGGATACTGTATGCTGGCACCATAAACCCCAGAAACCTCCACGGATCTTCAACCCAGCAGTTAGTCCCGTTCTTTCTAGCTGCTCCGATGTAAGGTACAGAGTAGTCATCCCCGTTCATTGAAAGTGAGGTTAAGAAGGCTGCCAATGGGAATACTAGGGGAAACAACCAACTTAGTGCTGTGCACTTGTGAATAAAAAACTTGTCTTTCTTTCCGTAGCTCTTCAATGCCATCACTATCTTCCCGAAGAAGGTCCAGGCAGTGCAACCCATCCAACAAAGTGCTGACAATAAGAAGTATTGTGTGATGATGACCCCTACAACACATCCCGTGTTCAGTGACAGAAGAGGGTTTCCAGCCTCGTCCACACTGATTTTAGTGGAAGCAGAGAGACATGTAAATGATACGTTACCTAGAATTAGAGCTAGGATGAGATTCAGCTGGATCAGTACTACTTGTTTGCTTCGGAGCTTCTTGAACGGGGCTATCAGACAGAAAGTTAGAACCAGGAAGATTATGTTTATCCCAAACATGACATAGCTAATAACATCCTGGGTTGGGTCTGTTACTTTAGTCGGGCTGAGCAGGACTGCAAAGCTAGTGGTGTGGGTGCAGGTGCAGGTGCAGGTTTTGTCTTGTTGGAGAGTTGTTGTGCAGCCGTCAGTTAGCCACTCGTTAGTTGAGATGTTCAGGTAGCCACACTCTCTCTTGGTGGTGTATCCGGGGAGATTGGGGACTTCTTTTTCCTGGAAAATCAAAGAGAAGTCCAGGTCGTTTCTTTCTATTTCGCTGTTCGTGTTCATGAAGTTGAGCGACACTATAGAGGAACCTACGGTTGTGTTAGGAGTCTTGGGTATTGGCAGGATACTTTTGTAGGATTCGTCCATGACTGCAAGCTTGGTGGTTTTCCCTTTTTGGTTTCCTAACTTGAGTGTGATGGGGGGAGCGGTGTTTGGGACTTTGATGGACAGTTCTTCTTCTGATGAAGTGAGAGATTGCATAACAATCGAGTTGGTATTGATAGTCATGTCATCTTTTAAAGACTTTGACATTGTCTCCAAAATGTCTATAATCTCCGATTTCTTTTCATCAGCTAAAAAATCAGGTTCACCTTTTTTCAAGATTTCCATAGATTTTGCCATGCTCAAACTGAGATCCTCTACCTCTTCAGATGAGTAGTCTTTAATGTAGTTTTTGCACGCTGAAAGAAGGTCGACTATGTTACCAACATCACTGGGAGACGGGATCACTTCATCACCAATTTCAGCTATTGAGCCCATAGCTTTCCCCAACTCTTTTTTATTTTCTTCAAACGATAGTTCGGCAATTTCTTTTGCATCTTGAGTGTACTTTGATAGAGGGGTACTACAACTTTCTGTGTTGGTGTACGAGTCCCATTCACCTGAAGCCTCGCACATCTTGTACATTTTCTGACTTTCATTCTCTGTGCCCGAACAGCTTACTATACCAGTGCTTCCTGCTGAAGTTTCAGGAAACTCTATTTCTTCTCCTCCATTCAACCATGATATCTTAACTTTGATAGCACCACACTTTGCACCTGCCTGTATATCACACTGGGTTCTATCTGGGGTAACTGTTCCTGCACAAGACATGCACCGAGTTTGTTGAAAGTAAGGTTGGTATTCAGATGCATCACAAGGTTTGCAGTTGGGTCCCAATCCCCCGTTCTGCGAGAACCAGCCTGGATTGCAGGGAGCTGAAATTGTGTGTTTATTTTTATACTCATACTATATTATTTATAATGCTTACTACACTCTTTAAAAATTCACAGGCTAACTCGGGACGTCAAGCTTTAACTCTATCCCACAGGGGGATTTCGTAACCGAGAAGAATATAGTATTTTGAATGAGTTCTCTCAAATAAAGGACCACTTTAAATGCTTGTAATATGATTTGTTATTGAGAGGAACAAATACTGTATAATGCATGATAAAACTTACCTGTGCATTCTGTTCTTTCCTCGTTAGAAACCGTTCCATCAGCACAGACTTTACAGCTGCTTTCTCCTGACTGTCCTGTCTGATCATTGTACTTCCCTGCAGGACACAGCTCACAACTTGTCATACTAACTTCGTACTGACCCTGTAACAGCAGATAAATAACACACACTAATAATAATAATATTTAAACTCAAGAAAAAACACATTGAGTAAGTGAGCGGTAACAAGATGAACGGAAATTTTAAAAATAAAATAAGAAACTAACCACGGGGCATTCTGTGCAAACAGACGCTCCAGCAGCAGACATCCATCCAGAATCACATGGAATACAGTCGTTGTCAGATATCCCTCGTCTCTCACCAGCAGGGCAGTCTTCACAAGTATTACCAGTACTATCTCGTATCTTGCCCTGGTATTTAGCTTATAATTAGCAAGGCCAAACACAATAACAGTTAATTAGTTTACAGTTGAAATAAGAAAATTACAGTTCGAGATATTATTATTCCACTTACCACATCACACATCAGACATTCTATTTTGTCCGTGGTGTACTCCTTCATATGAGTGCAGCTGTGACAGTAGTCCGAACTCTCTGCTGTGTTACGGGTTCCGTCCGGGCAATCTCTACATTCAACTTTGGTGCATGTTGAGGGATCAGTTACAGCGACAGCAGTGGCAGACGCTCGTTCAGGGTTAGCAGGATAGTTGCAGTCCGCATCAACGCCTTCTGCATAATATTCCTGTCCCTGAAAGAAAGAACAGGTTTCAATATACAATAAGATAAGTAAAAAGCTAGGAGTCCTCCATCTCTGAGAAACCGAAATATTAATTGTCATTATCAGAAACTTCTCTGAACACAATAGCAGTCTTGCAAAAAGGATCTACAGTGAAATAAACAACTAAAACCCAAATTAAGTATATCATTCGGGGTCGTTCACATAATATTACGCAATCACTTTTTGAACAATTTTTAACCCCCCCCCCCCCCCTCCGTTATCAGTTTTACACATAGTTATTGTATCAAAATTACACTAGCGTAATCATTTGGAAACCTCCCCCCTCCCCTCGGCTGATTACGTAATATGTGAGCAACCCCTGAACCCCTTATCACCACTCTTAAAGTACTCACAGCTGGACACTTAACGCAAGTTCCTTTGTCAGCGAGGATAACTGTCGGAGCAGCACACGACTGACACTCGTTCATCTTCTTGTGGTATATTGTCCTCGTGTAGAAGATCTTCTTCTCTTTGTTGTCACACTGGGTGCAAGCTTTAGCTTGTTCTGGGTCTGAAGTGAAGTCTGTTCGTGCGTCGTGTGAACCTGAGATGAGAGGGACATATTTTCTTTAGTGCTCTTGACATTGAGGTTCAGATCAGATCACAAATCGTTTGAAGATCCCTATTATAACTTAATTACACTACAGTGTACTTTCTACTGATTCAATTGAATAAACAATAAATATTTTGCATTAAAGCCAGAGTAGAAATTGTTAATAAAAGAAGATTGTGGGCTGTACATACCATCATCACAAACTTTACAGCCATCTCTTGCCGTGTCACTGTGGGTACCAGTGTCTGTGTTGTAGTATCCCAAACCGCAGGGATAGGTTGCTGAAATTAATTAATTAATTAATTAATCAATTAATTGATTACTTTGTTAGCATATTATTCTAGAGGTGTTATTCTGGTTTATCTCATGAGTAAAACAGTTGTAATACTAGATATTAGAGATAAGTACTAAGTAGATACAAATGTGTTATTATGTTCTTCATAGTCATTTGAGACCTTGGCTGACCCAACTTACCCCAAGTTTTTCCGACCACGACAACTTCAGCAAGCCCTCCTGACCCAGATTGGCGATCCCACATGATGATGACTTCTGTTGCAGCAAGTCTTTCCTGGCAGACGAACTCGTAACTATCCGTACCTTCACTAGAATTGTTACCGGCTGTACATGGGACCTCTTCAGTCAGGTTATTGTACTGGGCATCTGATTTTTGGGCACTTGTGTCTTTTACGTACACCTGAAATATGAGCTTGTCAGCAACATTGTCTACAAAAAGACGATGTTATCATTTTTAAGTTGAATTAAATTTCTCTGGAAATGATATTTGTAAAAGCATCTTCAAATCTCCTATAGTTTCTGTAATGTGTTACACACAATATGATTACTATTGTTATTACCTTCCACCCTGCAATGGAGATGTCAGTGCTTGTTGCAGAGAGGATAACTTTGTAGATCCCTTGCCTTTGCCACCATTTAAAAGTGAACGGTGCGTCATCACTGCTCACTGTCCTTTCCAAGTTCATATCTTTTAATATACCGTCGTTGCCATTAATGATTTCGGCAGTTGTTCCAGAGAGATTCTCGAATCCGTTCAAGTCTGGTTGGGGTTTTTAATACTTCAATAGCGAGAAAATAATATTAGTTCAGATAAAATCGCAAATGAAGCTTCATAATCAATCAGTCAAACGTGCTGATTCCTCGGGCTATTTAATTAACATTGCTCTTGAGGGTAGTTTTTATTTTGCCCCCATTTGTATTGGTGATACCGCTAGAAATTATGAATCCTGTAAGGACTTAATGCATCAAACTGTATATTCAACAACACCCAGCTAAGGTATTAATAGCCACTGACAGTAGTTCTCCAGTTTCCTCTGAACGTTTCACTTTCAGCTTGTTATATTGTTGAGACTACATCGTCTCAACAATATAGACAACTCACCACATTCAAACCCCTGTTCATTGTAAAATCTACAACTTCCACGAGCGCAATTGTGTAAAATAAATAGTAGGATTCAAATTAGAGGGCTGGATGTTAAAATAGGGAGCTAAGGTTGAAACGGCAAAACGCGGCTACGGCTGTGATGTACCTGACAGTACATGAAAAAGCACATCTTGGCAATGCGCCAATAAATTATAACAATAACCCCCCTCCCCCCCCCCCCCCCCCACCCAGATGATATCTTGGCAATGCGCCAATAAATCATACAATAACACCCCCCAGATGACGGAGGAAGATAACAACTTCCTGTGGAAGAACCGAGTCCACTGCAGATCCTACCCTCACTCCCTCCCCAAGCTCGTGTTGTCCACCAGTATGGACTCTTTGGAGAAGTCCACCCAGCTCTATACTCTGCTATTAGATTGGCCTCCTATCAGTGTGGTTACTGCGCTGCAGTGTTTTCTGCATGAGATAAATGACCCTCATATTAGGGAGGTAGGTTGTGATTTTAGGAGAAATTTAAATTTTGTTTGTATTAATTAATTGTTTAATTAATTAATAAATATTGACATTCTTTGTATACCCTGTTAGAAACAGCCGAACCAGACATTTTTTGCCGAACGCGAACAAACCGAACCGAACTTTCAGTTTAAAACAAAAATGTGTTTCCTAATACATTGCTTGGTGTTTTGGCTCAATCATAAAGACTGGATCCCATATTGCAAAGTACAGCAAAATATCACGACTATAGTAATAGTATTAGAACATAATATTACTATTAACATTTGAAATTTTGATGATATTTTATTATCCTTTCAGTTTGCAGTGTACTCACTCGACACACTGCTACCGGACGATATGGTCTGCCTATACCTGTTACAGTTAGTAGAGTGTATCAAATACGACCTGTACTTGGACTGTGCACTTACACGGTTAGTTTTATAGTTCTTTCAATCAAATTTCTGATTGTTTCTGAATAGACTCAGTGAAGACAGATTCTAATGGAAATAAATAGCTGAATAATGTATCGACATTTCTCCGTCATACTCATATTCTCAAATTATTTGTTATATAGTAGTGTTTAAAGTATTAAAAAGAAAGAAGTTCTATCAAATTATGCGACTCAATAACACTACACGAATCCACCAGGTTAGTATTTTTCGCTGATAACTCGTCAGGGATGCATTTTAACCCTATGTCATCTGGAGTGAATCAGCGTTCAAAAGTATGTTTCAGTGTAGAGTGATTAAGCACGCTCGCCAAAAATAGATGTGACGCATCATGTCGAAGAATACAATATTTTAGTCATAAGTTTTACGTAGTTACAAGTTTTATACACTATATACTAGTAAACTATATACTATACTAACCGTCTTAACCGTCTTAAAATATTCTCTTAATCTAATGTAGCTTTAAAATATATAGCTAAGTATAACTCATGAAGCTGCGACATGGTATAAATTGATAGGTTTCTGAATAATATCTGGTAAAACAACATTTAAAGATCTATGAGTTCAATAGATTACCTGATAGTAATTGGTCGATGATCACTATTTCAAGCACTTCGACATATACCTTCCCATTAGCTGTTATTTTTACAGTGTCTCCAAGTTTACACCCAGAGGGGACATAGTCTCCAGAGACCGTGTTTTCATGGTACACTGTGAGGGGCCACTCATCACAATAGACTCCCTCACAGGTACACGTGTCACTAGAGCAGGTGTGAATTCTCTTGTGAAATGAGGACCAATAATGCACTACCTGCTTAATGCAGTGTACCTTATCTAGAGACGCTCTAAACCAGGCATTACTATACCCTCCTGGTACTGCCCAAGCCCGGGTGTTCAGGTCCCTGTCTATAGCATTATCTACTCCCAAATTAACCACGTCATTATCCCGAGTCGCAGACTGAGACACAGACGCAGGTTTTATCTCTCCTGATTCCTCTGGTCTTAGAGCACCTGAAGTAGTGAAAACTTCACATTGTTATCATACTGTTTTCAATCGGTCAAATTAGGAAAAAATCTGGATTTTACCTCATGATTATAACCAAACTTGTATAAATCCTGAAATTGGAGAACTTACTCAAATCTAATGGAGTAATGGCACTAATAAATATCATTCAAAGTAGAGATATAACCATTAATTCAAGTGTATCATTGATTCACTTTTACCTTTGAGGGGGGACCAAAGCAATGTCGTAATGATGATCAAGGTTGTCCCGTCATGTTCGGGTTTCATTTGTCTTAATATCCTAATATATGTAACTTATTAGAAATTATTTGCCTTATATTTAATATTTTAACAAAAGTTATGTTTTGATGTTTAATGAGTAATGACCTGATGGCATTTTAACACAAACCAATATTTTACTTTTAACCATATGATATCATATTTTTAACAAAAGATTGACTCTGGTAGTGCACCTGAAGTAGTGAAAAAAGTAGTGAACATTTTAAGAGATTGTCACATTGTAATTCATACTATTTTAATCAGTCAAATTAGGGAAATAGCGATTTGACTAAATTACAACCTGAATTATGTTAATAATAGAAGCTAATATATTCTTTCGAAGTACGTTTTTATCACATCAAAAAAAATCCATCCCATCGAAAGACTAATACACAAAACATGCAACGTAATATGACAACAAAACCGAACAAAATGTTGCTCTAACATCTTTGCACTGCACGTGCGCCTTGTCATATTCTCATATCCATTAGTACCAATAAGAGGAGGTTTAAAATAAAGATTCTCATTCATAATTCTATAACACCTTTACTTAATAGGCCATAGTTATCGTCAGAATCTTAGGAGGTTGCTTGAAATTCTATAAAATGTATATTTCAGATAATAATAAGTTTACTACTGTTAAAGTCTTGTTGAATCATTATATTATAGGGTTACTCATAGGAGACGATAGCTATATAATTTATGTGCGATAGCTAAAAATGATTTGGTGAAAAAACAATAATTTGTCTAAAATATTTGTCGTTGTTTGACATTAAAGTACAAATTCTTACCGTTCGTATCAGCACTTGCAGTCCCAACAAAGAAGAGGAACAAAAACAATTTCAACATTCCTAATTTTAGAAGATTGGGAATTAACTGAGACAGATCAGAGAAACGCATGAGGGACACAGTACAGGCAGGTTGAAGCAATTAGAATAATTATCATCAAATACAAATTCTAAACAAGGGATAGTTAAAACGAACGTGCTAAATCACTCTACACTCGAACTTCGAGATTTTTCTTAAAGGACCCCCAACCGTTGAAACCAACTTAACTCGATATAGTTTCAACGGTATATCGGTGTATTTTTGAGCGCTGATCCCAAATCAACCCACCTGACACAGGGTTAAAATGCTCCCCTGGCGAGTTATCGAGAGATTGTTATTTTGTCTCGTTAGGGTTAAGGTTTTAGCATATGCTTCAGTTAGGGTAAGGGTTAGGGTTTTATGTAGTCCCTCAGGGCCATCTAGAGAGCTTGTTTACTGTTCAAGTGAGTCACGTGATATTATAATGTAGAGTGATTGGTCATCATCCAGTTAAAAACAATACCCAAGTCTAACTTCACTGTAGTTTCTACCAATTTTGAATTTTCTCTTATCTCTTATCAGTGTAGTTTTTACATAGTATGTATTTATAATTTGGTGTAAGTGGTGGCCGTTGTATTCTATAAAACCGTTTTTAACGAGTTTTTTTACGATGCAGTATTTTGTGAGGAGATTTAAGCAGCATGAACTGTGGCTCATATTTTATTATTTAAGCTGCTCTACGAGCACACACGCTAGCTAGCTGGTTTTTAGGTAGTTAAGAGTATTAGTTACTTAGTTAGTTAGTGTAAATTAGTATCAGTCAGGATCTGTTAGCACACAGAACTGTTAGTTTTCGCGAAGCAGGTCTGACTTTCATATATATTCTTATAGTAGACTTCATCATATAAATTTATTTTGAACTTAGTAGCAATTTCAGGGAATAAATAGAAATTTAAGATTTCATTTCTATTCTAATATTCACGTATATTAAATACAATTATATTGTTATGTATCATATGATTTTGTAAACATTGGCCGGTGTACCAAAAAACCGGTCCCCAAACAAACATCTTAATAAGCTAAATTACGGTTAAAGCAAACAAAAATAGAAACATTGTTTTTGGGCTGCTTTAAAACGAGAGCACGGTCTCAGCTGACCTATCCTCAAGTGTGCTGCGCATGTCACGTCATTTGCTCTCACCAGGATTCTCTCTGGATAATTTAGTTGCATTGTTTTTGAAGAGTTATCGACGAATAACCCAAGGACATGGGAGAGCTTATTGCTGAATTATTCAATAGCTCGGGGACTCTGGGTCTCTCCGGGGTCCCTTATATTAACTACTACCCTTATATTAACTACTAACCCTTATATTAACTACTATTATAGGTGTAAGAAATACTGTTATAAATGTCAAAGCCTTACCACATTGTATAGAACATTTTGTATTGGAGTAATAGAGAGATATAGAGAGAGAATGGGAGAAAGAACCCAAGGAATTTTATGATCGTTCAACGATCTCTCCTATTGGGGACTCAAAAATAGCCTACCTAGAGATAAGATACTTGTTTGAGTGACCATGAAGGTTTATCATACGAGGGTGAAGTGTTAGAAACACACGAATTGTTAGATACCAGCATGGTCGTTTTGGTAAACAGAGCAAGAGTCTATATATATATCACAACTGAATTTTCATGAAAATATACCGTTTCGTATTAAGAGTTACAAGTTGGTTTGTCCACACTAAATTAAGTTAAATAATGAACGTTCCTTTCAAGGCAATGGCATTTTACCGTGCCTCTATACAACGGAAACGGGATTCAACTCCCGGAGTTACAAGGATTGTCGATTAAACGGGAAATTTGTACTATAAGTTCCCTTCATCCAAGATTCCCTGTAATCGGGGTACGCAGGTAACAGTGCAAGGAACACAAAGAGAATAAGGAATATTAATACAAAGTAAATAAACATAAGTGATATATACCTGATCAGTATAGATGTGACGTATAACATGACGTTATGATAATGTCGAGGAATAAAATATTTTAGTCGCAAGTTTTACGTAGTGTTAAGTAGTTACAAGTTTTATACACTATATGCTAGTAAACTATATACTATACTAACCGTCTTAACATATTCTCTTATTCTAATGTAGCTTTAAAATATATTATATATTGCAATCTCGAAATTCTCATTTTGCTCTGTGGTTTAGTTACCAAAGTATCTCGCGCTAATTGAAACGAGAAGTTCGCAGTATCTATTCCTCGTACATGACATATATATTAATTTAAGAGTTTAGATAATAATCTTATGAAGTTGGTATTAAGGTGTTAACATACCTATGATATCACAAAGTGGTGCATCATAGACAAGACCAACTATCTCTCCGTCCATACACCTCGCATTTCCTCCTCTGTTGATGAACCCTGTTTCACATTGTACCGTCATCAGTGTTCCATTTGCTACAGGAAGTCCAGGCTCCGTTGATGACACGCTCTTCAGGCTCAGTTCCTCGCAACCTTCGGTAGATATTATAATTTTATAATGTCGTTTTTTCGCGCAACTAGTAAACTTTCGTGAAATATCGTCTTAACCTAATGTCACTTTAAAATATATAGCTAAGAATAAATCATGAAGCTGCGACATGATATAAATTGATAGGTTTCTGAATAATATCTGGAAAAACAACATAAGATCAAATAGTTCAATAGATTACCTGATAGTAATTGTGCGATGATCACTATTTCATACACGGAGACATATATCTGCCTATTTATTTCAACAGTGTCCCCAAGTGTACAACCGGAGGGGACATAGCCTCCAGGGACCCTGTTTTCATGGTACACTTTGAGGGAATACACATCACACCCTCCTCCCTCACAGGTATACGAGTCACTAGAGCAGGTGTAAGTTCTCTTGGACTGTGAGGACCTATAATGCACCACCTGCTTAATGCAGTGTTCCTTATCTAGAGATGCTCTAAACCAGGCCTCACTATCTCCTACTGGTTTTGCTAAAGCCCGGGTGTCCAGGTCCCTGTCTATAGCATTATCTGCTCCATACTTAGCCACGTTATCACTCGCAGTCGTAGACTGAGACACAGAGGCAGGTTTTATCTCACCTGGTACCTCTGCTCTTAGAGCACCTGAAGTAGTGAAAACGTCACATTGTGATCATACTGTTTTCAATCGGTCAAATGAGAGAAATAGCTGCATTTTACATCATGATTATAACCAAACTTGTATAAATCCTGAAATTGGAGAACTTACTCAAATCTAATGGAATAATGGCACTAATAAATATCATTCAAATTACAGATATAACCACTAATTCAAGTGTATCATTGGTTCACTTTTACCTTTGAGGGGGGACCACAGCAATGTCGTTATGGGGGGGGGGGGGGGGGGGGGCAATGGCATAAATGGAGAAAATGGAGAATTACTCATAGGTTTTTCCATTTTTTCCATAGAAATAGTCTCCATTTTATGCCATTTTATGCCATTTTATGCCATTGAAAACCTGAAAAATTTAGAATTTCGAGAAAAATTATTTAAAAAAAAGATGTTTTCGGCCAATAATGAACAGGGTAACATGAAGTTATTTTCGATACGTACCTCCCGTATCGAGAGCTCCCGATTCCGAGCTCGTGTTGCAAAGGGGAGGCCTGCCTTCCGAGATCGCATTACCTCGAGTCCAAAATTGTGTATCGAGGGGAAGGTGTGGACTTCGAAAAACCGAAAAAATAATTTCGGAAAATAATGAACAGGGTAGCATGAAACGTGGAGAAAAGCGGTTTTCAGAAAAAAATTTGACCGAAAAAATATTTTCGGCTTATAATGAACAAGGTAGCATAAAACAAGGAGAAAAGTGTTTTTCAGAAAAAGTTTTTTTCAGAAAAAAAGGCAGGCCTCTCCTTTGCAACACGAGCTCGGAATCGGGACCTCTCGATACGAGAGGTACGTATCGAGAATGACTCGGGCCGAAAATTTTCTAAGTCAACATTTTTCAAAGTTGATAAAGTCCAATGCGTGACGAAAATTTGGTTTTACAGTTTACTTAGTTCCTTGTTTCACTTTGTTCGCAGTTTTATTTCGGGAGACGTGAAGTCTCAAATGAAAGCTAAAGTCAAAGTTTTTCTAAAAACCGCTTTTCTCCACGTTTCATGCTACCCTCTTCATTATTAGCCGAAAATATTTGTTTGGTTTTTCGGTTTATCGAAGTCTGCACCTACCCCTCGATACACAAATTTGGACTCGAGGCTTCCCCCTGGTAATACGATCTCGGAAGGCAGGCCTCCCCTTTGCAGTGCGAGCTTGTTTCGACTTTCGAGGATGTAGGTTTCACTTCTCAGTGCCTATTACTCTCCCCTATTACTCACTCGGCACTCCTGCTGTAGCCTGTAAAAATAACTTTACACTAAGCTTGAGTAATTATGAGTTTGCCTGAAGTGTGCCTCTACTAACCTAGTATAAGCATCTAGTAGCCTACTATGAGCTTTCATAAGCTTGTTACGACCCTAGTAAGCGTAAATGAACATGTTAGGATGTCCAATTTAGGTGTTAAATGGTGTTAAAGATGAAATTTCGAAGACAAAATTCATGGCATTAAATGGAGAAAATGGAGAATTACTCATGGGTTTTTCCATTTTCTCCATAGAAAAAGTCTCCATTTTATGCCATTGCCGCCTCCCCCTTCTCAGATTCTCATATCCATCAGTATCGTAAAGTAGTAGTAAATATTCTCATTTATAATTCTAAAAATGATTTTACTTAGGCCATAGTTGTCGTCAGAATATTAGGAGGTTGCTTGAAATTCTATAAAATGTATATTGTAAATAATAATTAGTTTACTACTGTTAAAGTCTTGTTGAATCATTATATTATAGGGTTACTCATAGGAGACGATAGCTATATATTTAGTATATAATTTATGTGCAAAAGCTAAAAATGATTTGGTGAAAAACAATAATTTGTCTAAAATATTTGTCGTTGTTCGACATTAAAGTACAAATTCTTACCTTCGTTCGTATCAGCACTTGCAGTCCCAAATAGGAAGAGAAACGAAAACAATTTCAACATTCCTAATTTTAGAAGATTGGTGATTAACTGAGACAGATTAGAGGGACACACAGTACAGGGAGGTTTAAGCGATTAATTTAATCATTATCAAATACAAATTCTAAACAAGGGATAGTTAAAACGAACATGCTAAATCACTCTACACTATGGTGGCCGAGGTGGGTCATTGTAAATTATTTCAAAATAAATTTAGAAAACCAAAAAAAACCAAAAAATAACCAAACTTTTAAAAAATAAACCAAAAATAAATTAAAAAAAAACAAAAAAAAAACTAAACTAAAAAAAACTTTAAAAAAACCAAAAAAAAAACAATTTAAAACAATAAAAAGCCAAAACAAAAAAAAAACAAAAAAAAATTTAAAAAAAACCAAAAAAAATTCAAAACAAAAATGAAATCGCTCCATATGGCCGAAATGTGCCATCAGCAGTCCTCACTGCGCGCCACAAAGAACGTACGTTGCGCGCGCGCGCAGATGTCTACAATTGTACCAAATGGCGATCGCGCTAACGCGTGCTTATTGTTCCCTCACGTGTAGTCTGATCCAGTTATTATTATCCACCTATTATTGTACTTCAGGTGAAATATATATGGCATACCGATAAACTCCTGTATTTGACGTGTGATTTAAGCGTGCTTGAAAACGACTGCAGACATTAGGTTATTGAGATTGAGTTCAGCATCTTGCCCGGCCCCATTGGCCGGACAAATCTCTATATAAATTTGTGTTCAAAGTTGGGAGATTACTTGGGCTTTTTATATTTTGTAGGATGATGTTAGCAGTGAAACAAAAATGTCATCAAAGTCAATAATTTAATAATCAGACCCATATATAAAACAACCAAGTATATGTTATAATTTAACAAAACATTGTAGTAGGATGATGTTAGCAGTGAAACAAACATTTTATCATAATAACTTACTTCGTATTCTAATCCTTAGAAAAGAATTGTACCAACTTTATAATTTACGGAGTTTAACATTTAAACTTTTAAGTTAACTTGAAATCCTTATAACATGATTTTATGGGTAATGGCTGGCTGTACCGAAGAAAAAACAGTACAAAAACCAACAGAAGAATCAAACCCACATATAAAACAACCAAGTAAATGTTATAATTTAACAAAACATTGTAGTTCTGCTAAAAAGAATTCAATGTTAAAATTTAATGTTAAAAATTGAATGTTAAAAATCTAAAAATCAATTTCATGCGTTTAATCGAGGTTTAAATGTGTTTAACCAACCAAGTAAATGTTAAAACAACCAGGTAAATGTTATAATTTAACAAAACATTGTAGTTCTGCTAAAAAGAATTCAATGTTTTAATGTTAAAATTTAATGTTAAAAATTGAATGTTAAAAATCTAAAAATCAATTTCATGCGTTTAATCGAGGTTTAAATGTGTTTAACCAACCAAGTAAATGTTAGTACAAAAACCAACAGAAGCTTTTTTACGATATTTATAACTAAACGTTCTTTATTAATAAAATCTCGGCCTCAACGAGACGGAAATTATCAAAATCTGGTATCTCGATAGACCGCTTCCCTTATTCGTGTGTATTCCGCTTTAACCCCACTTACCTGAAGTTCCTGAAACGGGTAAATATTTTAGCAAAAACGTTGCCTAACTATTACATGTTCATAGCCAGTCATTATTACGTGTTCATAGCCAGTCATCGGAGTAAGATATATATATATTCCAGTTGCTTTTAGAACAATTTTATCTCAGATAACGATGTTTAATAAAATGATGCAAAGACTTGTTTCGAAGATCTAATCAACACCGACTTTTAATGTGTAGGAGTACAGCTACAAAATATATATATATACGACAAACGATAACAATTAATATGAGAGGGGAAGTAGGATGCATTTGAAGACACTTACTGCTATCCGAGGGAGAGCAGCAACGAGGTATTCAGACGCCAACTCCGAATTAATTTTAATACCAGTAAAAACGTTGGACAAAATATCAGCGTCAGTGAAACTCTCTATATCCTTGTCAGAAAGCATGATTCCACACTCCTGAATGATAAATAATACCTGATAATTAATAAGAGAGGGGAAAATAAATAAAAATTGGGCCCAGATAATGGGTTTTCTGTCTGCTAATTTGTATAGCTATGATTGGGTTGTTTTTGTTTGCTAATTTATCTGATTGCGTTAGCCAACACTGTTGACGGTTTTTAGTAAAGAATAATTCATTGGATCTAATCAAACTAACCTCTCCGCCGTACTCTTCTGGGCACGAATACACATGCTCAGGGATTGTTCCTGATGGAAGTTCCACGTTGCGCTGCTTTCTTCCCCTGAACAGATTTATTAGATTATTAGATATGCACTTAAAGAGGCCTCATGTAGCCTCCAGGCTCGAAAAACCCCGAAAAACCCCGACACACCCCGAAAAACCCCGACAAACCCCGACACACCCCGACATATCCCGACAAACCCCGACAGACCCCGACAAACCCCGACGTGTCGAGATATGTCAGGGTATGTCGGATTATGTCAGTTTGCCCCAATAATTATTCAAACCCCGACACACGCCGAAATATCCCGACAAACCCCGACATATCCCGACAAACTTCGACAAACCCCGACAAACCCCGACACACCCCGACAAACCCCGACAAACCCCGACGTGTCGAGATATGTCGTATCATGTCGGGCCAACCGGCTACACGAGGCCTTTAAAGACATCCTATATGTTGTTTCTATTCTTGAATGTTTTCAGTAATTTCGTATTGCAGTTTACTATAAATTTATAATCCTACCTCATATTGTTATGGTTCTCCCTGAATTCGTCGAGATAACGTTCGACAACAGGTATGAACACACCAGCAATTAAATCCCTGTCATACTCGCAACTTGAATCATACAGACCGTCTTGATCAATCTCTCTAAGTACGTGACGAAAACCATCACAAACCTTTTCGCGGACCTGTCAGCATTTTTTACTTGGAAAATGGGGACAAACTATGGTATAAGTAAGGAAACGGACTTTGCTTTGCCTATGTTTGTTTCTTGTCGACAAATAATTGTTTTGAAAACGGTTGTGACCTAAGAAGTGAGCAAGATCTAACCAGATTTAGCAAACATTTCACTCCAACTATTGCCTACCTGCCTCCACAATCGTTCTATTTTGTTGGCAGTAGAAGGACCAAGTATCGTTGTAATCTCCTTGTCAACATTTTTCAGTTGCAATAGAGTTTTCTGAAAAAAAAGAGTGAAAACAAGCAGAATCCTGCGGTCTAACACCATAGCTTTAAGGTACGTATTGAAATTTAATATGGAAACAGCATTTGTAGCAGACATGGCACAGGGACAGTAGGCAGTAGAATATATAAAAAACGCCTTGGAAAATTAACTCACGTGTACAGCTGCAGCATGGACGGTCTCAGTTCCTTTGTCAAATCGAAGCATTTGCGGTAAAACTCTAGATTCCAGCAGATGGTCAAACAAAATACGTCCAATAACTTCACTGTCTCTATTAGACCGCCCAATGTACAAGAAGATGATTTTCCTACTGTAAGTATCAAGGGCCCTGTGAAAAATTAAAAAGAATTAATAACGCTAGCATATCGCCCGACCTAAGAACCAACTTTATAAATATAATGAAATCTTATCATGATGATCAGCAATGTTTAAATTATGAATTACTTTAATTTTAAGCATCCCTCCCCATCACCTCTTAATAAAATACACTGCTAAAAATACATTGTTTAACTGTTTCATACTCAACAGCTATAAATTCACCCTTCTCCCAAAAGTCTTCCTCCGAGCTTTTCTCCCTGTTACATGATAGATAAGATTTGTTTGATTTGTTCAAGCTCCCCGTCAAGATTGAAGGGCCTTAATTTTGCTCACATCATTTCTACAGTCTAAAACTTATATCATAGTTTGGTTATATTCTGTGTTTAAGCCCCTTGCCAAAATTAAAAGATCGGTACCACGCTATAGTCTATACACTCTACAGGGGCAGAACACCAAATAGGTGCTACAGTATAGTGATATAACTGATTGGCTGATAAGGGGGAAATCTTATCCAATGCTGTGCTCCCATACTGTCACATGATGCACTCAATCTCATCACGTAGTGTGTGCGCTCATGTCACGTGACAATATTCAGTCAGGTGCACCGTGCACACACTCAATCATGGTTATACAACATACACATGATATGCGCCCAGAAATGCCCAGCAGGGTTATCTTTCTAGCTGATGTTGACAGTGGGATTACCCGTTTAATCCCGCCCCTTATGAGCCATCCCGCCCCTTTCAAAACATCATGAAGGAATTTATAAGTTGTGGGATGGTATAAAAACAATTAGAGCTCAGCAATGGCATGTTTTCACACAAACAAGAAATGTAACATACCCATATATTTTGAGGTCGAATTGGCAGTTGGCATCCCCACTTAACTTGTCATGGCCATCCAGACTCCATAAGTAGTTTGGCCCCTTGCTGAAGAAGGTCTTCTTAGGCCTCTTATTCTTGAACTTTGGAGTGCGCATAACAACACCTTGTGGATCAACTAACCTTAGTGTATTCATAACATCATCTCTCGATACGAAGAGGCCTTGAGACCTGCAACAAGGAACAGTGAATATACTGAATATTGATAAATAAGGTGTATATATACACATATATGCATTATACCGTTCCTTAACATCGTGATGCCATTGTTTTAATACTACTTCAAGGCGCCTCAATTATTATAAAAATGTTTACTCCTTTTTTCATTGACGTGTTTAAATATTTTAACTTGTTACATTAACACTACAAATTTGCCCTTTTTAGTGTACCTTAGTTTTTCAGTCACATCCCGGTATCCTAATTGGCCCGAACTTTCGTTAACAACATTCTGTACCGCCGTCAGCAAAGTATGATCATCAACATCATTGTGTCGTTTAATGTTCCAGTGATTCAGCATTCTGCAAAGCACTTATTAGTGAAACTTTTAGTTTTACTGAAAATGTTTTGTTTTACTCAATCAATCCATGTGTATTGTGTACACATATGCACAACAGATTTTTGTTTTTAATATGTGGTCATTTGGTAAAGTATAAGTTTCGGTGTTAATCTTTAGTTCAAATACCAGTGAGGTAGATCGTAGAGGGCTGAGGGAGTGGAAGGTTTTTCGTCAGAAATATGAAAATTCAAAACCCATTCGATATGTTCATAGTAACTTGACTAGACTTAAACGCACTTGTGTGCTCATGAGTGTAATGAAGGAGGGTCCAATAAGGGTTAAATACACGGCGCAATTCTGCAACGTTTTACGTTGACATAGCAAAACTGAACTGCACATTGAATGAGGGTCCAATAGGGGCGCGAGCAATTTTGCTATGTAAATATAACAAAATTGCGCCCCGCATTAGACCCTCGTTCATTGCATCTATGAGCACACATGCAGTAATGAACAGTAAACACGATTTCCATTAATTTACAATGTTCATTGTCTGCATTATACCTTTTTACAGTGCGTTCTGAATAAGCCCTGTAGTTGGGGAACTTCTTTGGCAGGAGTGAAGTAATCTCGCTGCAAGTATAGTTGGATGCTCTTGAAGCCTCCAAAAAGTGTCTCAGATCTTCGTCTCCCATCCATGCTGGACCATCCATGACATATACCTATATTTTATGTTCTCATGTTGTGAAATTATTCATGGGACAAAGCAATATCACAAATTACTTTGCAATAATGTCCTAGTTGCACACAATATTTTGATGATATTCAACTTCATTATTTGTTATTTGGTAATGCAGAAGGTATTTTAACAGTATTAATACCCTACTATATAATGAAGATCATCAAAAGGCACTGAAAGAAAAATTTTTATATTTTTGAAAGAAAAATTTTTATTTACCACAAAACAATCAAAACATAATGTTATACGAAACGAAAACGAAACGAAACACTGTATTTACTACCCCGCTACTATGCGACAAAGATATTGTATAAAGATAACTAAATAATTTATACAATATGGTGCCCATGTCTGAGCGGCTCTCCTCAAATAACTTTCTCTCCTCCTCGGAGCAGAAAGTTAAAAACAAAACACAGGTCTCATAAATCAAAAAATACTAAATAATGTTAAAGAGATAATATCAGATTAACTGTCGCAGAAAAATGGTTAAAGTATACATATTACATAATTGATTTTATTGACACACCGATAAAAACCAGAAAAACAAGAAGTGGATACTCGGAAAACAAAAAATAACACAAAAAAGACTAGAAGCCACAAAAAATAGCTTAACCAGGCTATAGCTGATCATACAAATAGTTCTTTAACTTACCCTTAAAAGAGACAATATTCTCGATGTTACGGACATTAAGAGGGAGAGAATTCCATGATTCAGGTGCATAGTTGCTGAACCGCCTGCTAGTTGCCTTCAATTTAGAGAACTATATTCATAAATAAAATCAAATTTCAATTTCAACCACATATACAGTACGCCGCGCACACAGCCACTATTTTGGTGGGCGTTCTTATAGTTCTACTGTTCCATATCTTCCAAAGATGGATACTAGGCTCAGGTTACTTGGCTCAGATCTCGTGTCTTCTGATGCTTTGAGAGGGCCTGACATGGTTCAGATCTCGAGCCTTGGGTCGGATCTCGATGTTTGAGGATCGTATCCTTTTCGGCACGCTTTGTAAACACATAAGCTTGTTAGATCAGATCTTGCGAAAGGCACCTGAGACCTTGTCATCTATTAGTACGCTTGTTATACAGATCGGATCAATACATAAGAAAGAGAGATGGTGGTCGCAGAATCTAATTATGATTGTCTTCAGCAAGTACATCCGCTGACAAAGAGGAGCTGAACTACTTCTGGAGTCTGGACACAGACGGTGTCCTCAACACCCGGAGAAAGGATCGAGATACCCTACTACCTCTACCTGGAGATGCCAGAGGTACAGAATCAAGAAATGTCCTGCTCATGTAATCCTTGACCATGGAGATCAGTCCTTGGCCAGCGGTGCCAAACCTCATTCCCACGACCCTGACAACTTAAAGTTAAACTAGAGCGGTATTTGGAAACCTGTTTATCTTTTAGTTATTTCTAACTGACGATTGGGTTCAGTTGTCGTTTCAAAGTTAATTAGGTAAACTGATTGGGTTTTTAATTATTTTCCCAAGCTACCCTGTCTAGGAAAAGTCCAAATTGGGTTCAGTTGTCCGGTAGCCTTTGAGGAGCTATAAAATAATGACATAATACATCTTACAATATCATACATTTAAAACACCATGAGGAGAAGTTAAACATAACTTTCGAGATACAAATCGAAAAGTTCAAACATCCAGACAAGATATTACTTACTATTAAGTATATGTGCTCCCAAAAAGTCTTAACGGCCATCTAACACCATGCTAGTAGCCAGCTGTTACAGTAATAGCCCAGCCCTCTTACACCCCTCTAATAGCCATAACACCACCAGTAGTTATCAGGTATAATCCACGATTCTGCCTTCACAGATTATCAACCAGTGTCCAAAATTATTTAATAAAGGATATTAACATCACACCATTTATCCCCAATCGACAAAGATCATATTCCAAATGTCTTCAAAAACTACAGACCAGTGTCAAACCTTGAGAAAATTGATTGAAAGAAAAGGCTACAGGAGCAATGAGCATGTAATGATAATCTCAATTTTCCAGACTCTACTTCTGGACAATATGCTTACAAAAGAGATCATAAATGGGTACTCCACATCAAAGAGAATACATGAAAACATAATTAGTAATCAAATTACACATCAAAAAGATAACTAAATAGGGTGAAAAGGAGTTTCGAAATGCAACAATAATACTAAAAAACAACCTAGGTATTTTTGTGAAAATATGACAGTATCTGCTTTAGCGCTCGATTTTCATACCACGGTGTAAATTTTCGAAAATATGCGCGGCGCGCCTAAAATTTTGGTTCTATTAAAAATAAATTTTTTGGTCAAAATTATATTTAATATATTGAAATTAGTTGTTATTACAGATATATGTTAAAATATTTCCAAAATATAGAATATAAGTACCCAAAATAAAATGCGCGCAAAAAAGTCAAAATTTTAACACTTTTTTGCGCGCATTTTATTTTGGGTACTTATATTCTATATTTTGGAAATATTTTAACATATATCTGTAATAACAACTAATTTCAATATATTAAATATAATTTTGACCAAAAAATTTATTTTTAATAGAACCAAAATTTTAGGCGCGCCGCGCATATTTTCGAAAATTTACACCGTGGTATGAAAATCGAGCGCTAAAGCAGATACTGTCATATTTTCACAAAAATACCTAGGTTGTTTTTTAGTATTATTGTTGCATTTCGAAACTCCTTTTCACCCTATTTAGTTATCTTTTTGATGTGTAATTTGATTACTAATTATGTTTTCATGTATTCTCTTTGATGTGGAGTACCCATTTATGATCTCTTTTGTAAGCATATTGTCCAGAAGTAGAGTCTGGAAAATTGAGATTATCATTACATGCTCATTGCTCCTGTAGCCTTTTCTTTCAATCAATTTTCTCAAGGTTTGACACTGGTCTGTAGTTTTTGAAGACATTTGGAATATGATCTTTGTCGATTGGGGATAAATGGTGTGATGTTAATATCCTTTATTAAATAATTTTGGACACTGGTTGATAATCTGTGAAGGCAGAATCGTGGATTATACCTGATAACTACTGGTGGTGTTATGGCTATTAGAGGGGTGTAAGAGGGCTGGGCTATTACTGTAACAGCTGGCTACTAGCATGGTGTTAGATGGCCGTTAAGACTTTTTGGGAGCACATATACTTAATAGTAAGTAATATCTTGTCTGGATGTTTGAACTTTTCGATTTGTATCTCGAAAGTTATGTTTAACTTCTCCTCATGGTGTTTTAAATGTATGATATTGTAAGATGTATTATGTCATTATTTTATAGCTCCTCAAAGGCTACCGGACAACTGAACCCAATTTGGACTTTTCCTAGACAGGGTAGCTTGGGAAAATAATTAAAAACCCAATCAGTTTACCTAATTAACTTTGAAACGACAACTGAACCCAATCGTCAGTTAGAAATAACTAAAAGATAAACAGGTTTCCAAATACCGCTCTAGTTTAACTTTAAGTTGTCAGGGTCGTGGGAATGAGGTTTGGCACCGCTGGCCAAGGACTGATCTCCATGGTCAAGGATTACATGAGCAGGACATTTCTTGATTCTGTACCTCTGGCATCTCCAGGTAGAGGTAGTAGGGTATCTCGATCCTTTCTCCGGGTGTTGAGGACACCGTCTGTGTCCAGACTCCAGAAGTAGTTCAGCTCCTCTTTGTCAGCGGATGTACTTGCTGAAGACAATCATAATTAGATTCTGCGACCACCATCTCTCTTTCTTATGTATTGATCCGATCTGTATAACAAGCGTACTAATAGATGACAAGGTCTCAGGTGCCTTTCGCAAGATCTGATCTAACAAGCTTATGTGTTTACAAAGCGTGCCGAAAAGGATACGATCCTCAAACATCGAGATCCGACCCAAGGCTCGAGATCTGAACCATGTCAGGCCCTCTCAAAGCATCAGAAGACACGAGATCTGAGCCAAGTAACCTGAGCCTAGTATCCATCTTTGGAAGATATGGAACAGTAGAACTATAAGAACGCCCACCAAAATAGTGGCTGTGTGCGCGGCGTACTGTATATGTGGTTGAAATTGAAATTTGATTTTATTTATGAATATAGTTCTCTAAATTGAAGGCAACTAGCAGGCGGTTCAGCAACTATGCACCTGAATCATGGAATTCTCTCCCTCTTAATGTCCGTAACATCGAGAATATTGTCTCTTTTAAGGGTAAGTTAAAGAACTATTTGTATGATCAGCTATAGCCTGGTTAAGCTATTTTTTGTGGCTTCTAGTCTTTTTTGTGTTATTTTTTGTTTTCCGAGTATCCACTTCTTGTTTTTCTGGTTTTTATCGGTGTGTCAATAAAATCAATTATGTAATATGTATACTTTAACCATTTTTCTGCGACAGTTAATCTGATATTATCTCTTTAACATTATTTAGTATTTTTTGATTTATGAGACCCGTGTTTTGTTTTTAACTTTCTGCTCCGAGGAGGAGAGAAAGTTATTTGAGGAGAGCCGCTCAGACATGGGCACCATATTGTATAAATTATTTAGTTATCTTTATACAATATCTTTGTCGCATAGTAGCGGGGTAGTAAATACAGTGTTTCGTTTCGTTTTCGTTTCGTATAACATTATGTTTTGATTGTTTTGTGGTAAATAAAAATTTTTCTTTCAAAAATATAAAAATTTTTCTTTCAGTGCCTTTTGATGATCTTCATTATATAGTAGGGTATTAATACTGTTAAAATACCTTCTGCATTACCAAATAACAAATAATGAAGTTGAATATCATCAAAATATTGTGTGCAACTAGGACATTATTGCAAAGTAATTTGTGATATTGCTTTGTCCCATGAATAATTTCACAACATGAGAACATAAAATATAGGTATATGTCATGGATGGTCCAGCATGGATGGGAGACGAAGATCTGAGACACTTTTTGGAGGCTTCAAGAGCATCCAACTATACTTGCAGCGAGATTACTTCACTCCTGCCAAAGAAGTTCCCCAACTACAGGGCTTATTCAGAACGCACTGTAAAAAGGTATAATGCAGACAATGAACATTGTAAATTAATGGAAATCGTGTTTACTGTTCATTACTGCATGTGTGCTCATAGATGCAATGAACGAGGGTCTAATGCGGGGCGCAATTTTGTTATATTTACATAGCAAAATTGCTCGCGCCCCTATTGGACCCTCATTCAATGTGCAGTTCAGTTTTGCTATGTCAACGTAAAACGTTGCAGAATTGCGCCGTGTATTTAACCCTTATTGGACCCTCCTTCATTACACTCATGAGCACACAAGTGCGTTTAAGTCTAGTCAAGTTACTATGAACATATCGAATGGGTTTTGAATTTTCATATTTCTGACGAAAAACCTTCCACTCCCTCAGCCCTCTACGATCTACCTCACTGGTATTTGAACTAAAGATTAACACCGAAACTTATACTTTACCAAATGACCACATATTAAAAACAAAAATCTGTTGTGCATATGTGTACACAATACACATGGATTGATTGAGTAAAACAAAACATTTTCAGTAAAACTAAAAGTTTCACTAATAAGTGCTTTGCAGAATGCTGAATCACTGGAACATTAAACGACACAATGATGTTGATGATCATACTTTGCTGACGGCGGTACAGAATGTTGTTAACGAAAGTTCGGGCCAATTAGGATACCGGGATGTGACTGAAAAACTAAGGTACACTAAAAAGGGCAAATTTGTAGTGTTAATGTAACAAGTTAAAATATTTAAACACGTCAATGAAAAAAGGAGTAAACATTTTTATAATAATTGAGGCGCCTTGAAGTAGTATTAAAACAATGGCATCACGATGTTAAGGAACGGTATAATGCATATATGTGTATATATACACCTTATTTATCAATATTCAGTATATTCACTGTTCCTTGTTGCAGGTCTCAAGGCCTCTTCGTATCGAGAGATGATGTTATGAATACACTAAGGTTAGTTGATCCACAAGGTGTTGTTATGCGCACTCCAAAGTTCAAGAATAAGAGGCCTAAGAAGACCTTCTTCAGCAAGGGGCCAAACTACTTATGGAGTCTGGATGGCCATGACAAGTTAAGTGGGGATGCCAACTGCCAATTCGACCTCAAAATATATGGGTATGTTACATTTCTTGTTTGTGTGAAAACATGCCATTGCTGAGCTCTAATTGTTTTTATACCATCCCACAACTTATAAATTCCTTCATGATGTTTTGAAAGGGGCGGGATGGCTCATAAGGGGCGGGATTAAACGGGTAATCCCACTGTCAACATCAGCTAGAAAGATAACCCTGCTGGGCATTTCTGGGCGCATATCATGTGTATGTTGTATAACCATGATTGAGTGTGTGCACGGTGCACCTGACTGAATATTGTCACGTGACATGAGCGCACACACTACGTGATGAGATTGAGTGCATCATGTGACAGTATGGGAGCACAGCATTGGATAAGATTTCCCCCTTATCAGCCAATCAGTTATATCACTATACTGTAGCACCTATTTGGTGTTCTGCCCCTGTAGAGTGTATAGACTATAGCGTGGTACCGATCTTTTAATTTTGGCAAGGGGCTTAAACACAGAATATAACCAAACTATGATATAAGTTTTAGACTGTAGAAATGATGTGAGCAAAATTAAGGCCCTTCAATCTTGACGGGGAGCTTGAACAAATCAAACAAATCTTATCTATCATGTAACAGGGAGAAAAGCTCGGAGGAAGACTTTTGGGAGAAGGGTGAATTTATAGCTGTTGAGTATGAAACAGTTAAACAATGTATTTTTAGCAGTGTATTTTATTAAGAGGTGATGGGGAGGGATGCTTAAAATTAAAGTAATTCATAATTTAAACATTGCTGATCATCATGATAAGATTTCATTATATTTATAAAGTTGGTTCTTAGGTCGGGCGATATGCTAGCGTTATTAATTCTTTTTAATTTTTCACAGGGCCCTTGATACTTACAGTAGGAAAATCATCTTCTTGTACATTGGGCGGTCTAATAGAGACAGTGAAGTTATTGGACGTATTTTGTTTGACCATCTGCTGGAATCTAGAGTTTTACCGCAAATGCTTCGATTTGACAAAGGAACTGAGACCGTCCATGCTGCAGCTGTACACGTGAGTTAATTTTCCAAGGCGTTTTTTATATATTCTACTGCCTACTGTCCCTGTGCCATGTCTGCTACAAATGCTGTTTCCATATTAAATTTCAATACGTACCTTAAAGCTATGGTGTTAGACCGCAGGATTCTGCTTGTTTTCACTCTTTTTTTTCAGAAAACTCTATTGCAACTGAAAAATGTTGACAAGGAGATTACAACGATACTTGGTCCTTCTACTGCCAACAAAATAGAACGATTGTGGAGGCAGGTAGGCAATAGTTGGAGTGAAATGTTTGCTAAATCTGGTTAGATCTTGCTCACTTCTTAGGTCACAACCGTTTTCAAAACAATTATTTGTCGACAAGAAACAAACATAGGCAAAGCAAAGTCCGTTTCCTTACTTATACCATAGTTTGTCCCCATTTTCCAAGTAAAAAATGCTGACAGGTCCGCGAAAAGGTTTGTGATGGTTTTCGTCACGTACTTAGAGAGATTGATCAAGACGGTCTGTATGATTCAAGTTGCGAGTATGACAGGGATTTAATTGCTGGTGTGTTCATACCTGTTGTCGAACGTTATCTCGACGAATTCAGGGAGAACCATAACAATACTGCAATACGAAATTACTGAAAACATTCAAGAATAGAAACAACATATAGGATGTCTTTAAAGGCCTCGTGTAGCCGGTTGGCCCGACATGATACGACATATCTCGACACGTCGGGGTTTGTCGGGGTTTGTCAGGGTTTGTCGGGGTTTGTCGGGGTTTGTCGAAGTTTGTCGGGATATGTCGGGGTTTGTCGGGATATTTCGGCGTGTGTCGGGGTTTGAAATAATTATTGGGGCAAACTGACATAATCCGACATACCCTGACATATCTCGACACGTCGGGGTTTGTCGGGGTCTGTCGGGGTTTGTCGGGATATGTCGGGGTGTGTCGGGGTTTGTCGGGGTTTTTCGGGGTGTGTCGGGGTTTTTCGGGGTTTTTCGAGCCTGGAGGCTACATGAGGCCTCTTTAAGTGCATATCTAATAATCTAATAAATCTGTTCAGGGGAAGAAAGCAGCGCAACGTGGAACTTCCATCAGGGACAATCCCTGAGCATGTGTATTCGTGCCCAGAAGAGTACGGCGGAGAGGTTAGTTTGATTAGATCCAATGAATTATTCTTTACTAAAAACCGTCAACAGTGTTGGCTAACGCAATCAGATAAATTAGCAAACAAAAACAACCCAATCATAGCTATACAAATTAGCAGACAGAAAACCCATTATCTGGGCCCAATTTTTATTTATTTTCCCCTCTCTTATTAATTATCAGGTATTATTTATCATTCAGGAGTGTGGAATCATGCTTTCTGACAAGGATATAGAGAGTTTCACTGACGCTGATATTTTGTCCAACGTTTTTACTGGTATTAAAATTAATTCGGAGTTGGCGTCTGAATACCTCGTTGCTGCTCTCCCTCGGATAGCAGTAAGTGTCTTCAAATGCATCCTACTTCCCCTCTCATATTAATTGTTATCGTTTGTCGTATATATATATATTTTGTAGCTGTACTCCTACACATTAAAAGTCGGTGTTGATTAGATCTTCGAAACAAGTCTTTGCATCATTTTATTAAACATCGTTATCTGAGATAAAATTGTTCTAAAAGCAACTGGAATATATATATATCTTACTCCGATGACTGGCTATGAACACGTAATAATGACTGGCTATGAACATGTAATAGTTAGGCAACGTTTTTGCTAAAATATTTACCCGTTTCAGGAACTTCAGTTAAGTGGGGTTAAAGCGGAATACACACGAATAAGGGAAGCGGTCTATCGAGATACCAGATTTTGATAATTTCCGTCTCGTTGAGGCCGAGATTTTATTAATAAAGAACGTTTAGTTATAAATATCGTAAAAAAGCTTCTGTTGGTTTTTGTACTAACATTTACTTGGTTGGTTAAACACATTTAAACCTCGATTAAACGCATGAAATTGATTTTTAGATTTTTAACATTCAATTTTTAACATTAAATTTTAACATTAAATTTTAACATTGAATTCTTTTTAGCAGAACTACAATGTTTTGTTAAATTATAACATTTACCTGGTTGTTTTAACATTTACTTGGTTGGTTAAACACATTTAAACCTCGATTAAACGCATGAAATTGATTTTTAGATTTTTAACATTCAATTTTTAACATTAAATTTTAACATTGAATTCTTTTTAGCAGAACTACAATGTTTTGTTAAATTATAACATTTACTTGGTTGTTTTATATGTGGGTTTGATTCTTCTGTTGGTTTTTGTACTGTTTTATCTTCGGTACAGCCAGCCATTACCCATAAAATCATGTTATAAGGATTTCAAGTTAACTTAAAAGTTTAAATTTTAAACTCCGTAAATTATAAAGTTGGTACAATTCTTTTCTAAGGATTAGAATACGAAGTAAGTTATTATGATAAAATGTTTGTTTCACTGCTAACATCATCCTACTACAATGTTTTGTTAAATTATAACATATACTTGGTTGTTTTATATATGGGTCTGATTATTAAATTATTGACTTTGATGACATTTTTGTTTCACTGCTAACATCATCCTACAAAATATAAAAAGCCCAAGTAATCTCCCAACTTTGAACACAAATTTATATAGAGATTTGTCCGGCCAATGGGGCCGGGCAAGATGCTGAACTCAATCTCAATAACCTAATGTCTGCAGTCGTTTTCAAGCACGCTTAAATCACACGTCAAATACAGGAGTTTATCGGTATGCCATATATATTTCACCTGAGGACAATAATAGGTGGATAATAATAACTGGATCAGACTACACGTGAGGGAACAATAAGCACGCGTTAGCGCGATCGCCATTTGGTACAATTGTAGACATCTGCGCGCGCGCAACGTACGTTCTTTGTGGCGCGCAGTGAGGACTGCTGATGGCACATTTCGGCCATATGGAGCGATTTCATTTTTGTTTTGATTTTTTTTTGGTTTTTTTTTAATTTTTTTTTGTTTTTTTTTGTTTTGGTTTTTTATTGTTTTAAATTGTTTTTCTTTTGGTTTTTTTTAAGTTTTTTTTAGTTTAGTTTTTTTAAAATTTATTTTTGGTTTATTTTTTAAAAGTTTGGTTATTTTTTGGTTTTTTTTGGTTTTCTAAATTTATTTTGAAATAATTTACAATGACCCACCTCGGCCACCATACTACACTCGAATTTCGAGATTTTTCTTAAAGGACCCCAAATTGTTGAAACCTGCTTAAATCGATATAATTTGAACGGTCTATCGACGAGATGTATTTTTGAACGCCGATTCCAAATCAACCAACCTGACACAGAGTTAAAATGCTCCCCTGGCGAGTTATCGACGAAAAACTGTTTTTGATCACGTGACTTGACCAAATATTAATAAGGAGATTGGTATATTGTCTCGTTAGGATTAAGGTTTTAGCATATGCTGCAGTTAGGGATCGGGTTAGGGTAAGGTTTAGGGGTTTATATAGTCCCTCAGGCCTCAGGACCATCTATAGAACTTGTTTACTGTTCAAGTGAGTCACGTGATATTAGAGTGTAGAATGATTGGTCATCATCCAGTTAAAAACAATGCCCAAGTCAAACTTCACTGTAGTTTCTACCAATTTTAAATTTCTCTTATCATAAGCTAAATTACGCCATTACGGTCAAAGCAAACAAAAATGTACAAGTTGTTTTGGACTGCCTTAAAACGAGAGCACAGTCTCAGCTGACTTATCCTCAAGTGTGCTGCGCATGTCACGTCATTAGCTCTCGCCAGGGTTCTCGCTGGATAATTTTGTAATTGCATTGTTTTTGAAGAGTAATCGACGATTAACCCAAGGACATGGGACAGCTCATTGCTGAATTATTCAATAGCTCGGGGACTCTGGGTCTCTCCGGGGTCCCTTAGGCCTTAACTACTACTATAGGTGTAAGAAATACTGTTATAAATGTCAAAGCCTTACCAAATTGTATAGAACATCTTGTATTGGAGTAATAGAGAGATATAGAGAAAGAATGGGAGAAAGAACCCAAGGAATTTTATGATCGGTTGGGGGGGTACCAATGGCATAAATGGCATAATGGAGAATTGGCCAAACAAAATTTCCATTTATGCCATTTGATGATTTTTATGCCATTCTTCTCCATTCTATGCCATTCGAAATATGAAATTTTAAAACTTTGAACTGAGAATTTAATAACGAATAGTCTGCACCCCACTAGTACTGTCCATCTTTATCTCTATTTATTGTACTACAACATCTATTTTCACCCATTAATTTCCTCAAAATATCCCTAGCAATGGGCATTATTGATTACCTGCTGGATGCTGAAATCGTCACTTATTACCTTGGAAGTGATCAGAATGAGCAGCTGTTTGCATTTATTCGGGTTTCTTTTTCATCTGGTCGCTCAAGAAATATGGATGCGATAACTATGGCCCATGGAATGGAGAGAAAGAATGTGTACAGTGCTTTATCATTACATGAAGACACATCTGCAATTGCACATGCACGTGGAAGTACAGTTTTGCATCCTACAGTTCACCTCAAAAAGGTTAAATCTACAGGCCAGAAAGCAGAACGAGTGAAATGGACTGGTAGTATGATAAGCCTAGGCAAGTTGGCAAATTCGAGAAGGGAAAAGAAACAATTTCCCTGTGTTCGCCGCAGTCGCAGATCCTGAAGAACGGAGTGGGAAGCCAATCGTCCATGGCCAAGAACTTTCTTGGGAAGCTGTAGATGATGAAGCTGGATGCCTCGAGGATGAGGACGACTTAGCTTATGAGGTAGAACCTGGAGTTGATGATTGTGATGATGGAGAAACGATATCAACAGATAAATATGGAACACTATCCTTCCGGTCTTTTGAGACACTCACGCTCAATGGAGGAAGAAGCACTTTATCAACAAAATCTCGTCTTTCAAGATTCAAGGGGGACGCGTTTGGAGTGTCTTCTGATGTTCGCATATACAATCAACCTGAATGCGGATGTTCAACAGTTTTGAAAGCTGGCAGTACAGAAACTCTTAAAGTCTTCAAATCTCAGCAGGACTTTGCAACAGGAGTACTTACTTGTACTTGATTAGGTCTCCTCAATCATTCGAGTGGCCTACACCAATGAACTCCCGTTTGTGACGTATCATCTCCCTCCAAAGTTTGCGGTCACTAGCCATCTCGCTCGCTCCTTCTAGGTCTATGTCAGTGTTTCCTGTAAACGCTGTAGCATCTTCCAGCAAACATTTCCTCCAGTTCTTTCTTGGACGGCCCCTAGATCTTCTCCCATGGGCAGGGGTCCAGTTAAGCAGGTACTTAGGAAGCCTAGTGTCTGGCATTCTGGTGACATGGCCAAACCAACGCAGGCGGTTTGCTCCTATGTACGTCTCTACTGGATTTATCTTTGCACGCTCCAGCACTTCAGTGTTTCTAACCCGATCGAGCCATCTTATCCTAAGTATTCTCCTCAAGCAACGCTGATGGAACACCTCAAAGCGATGTAGCTGCTTTTTGGTTGTGTTCCAAACCTCACTACCATATAACAATATTGTCAAAACCGCTGCCTTATAAATCCTGATCTTTGTATAAGACTGGATGTTGCGGTTTTTCCATATATTA